CCTAGAAGTATCTCCAAATCCCTTGAGCCAGAATAGCCCTAAGCTGCATGCCAAAAAATGCTGGTGAATTCCAGTTTCTGCAGCTCAGGGCTATATCCAAAAAAAATAAAATAAAATAAAAATATCAAGCCTCAACTCATATTCTCGGTTTTGGGAATAAAAGTTATGCTTTCTCTTCATTGCATCTGGATTATTTTAATTCTCTGTCTACATGTGTTAGTCACTTATCCCTGGCAAGCTTGCAGCTAGCCCAGAATGTGCACCTAGTTTTCAAACTGGAAAAAGAAAGAAGGAATACATGTCCCATCATTTGCTGCTATAGTAGCTAGTTAATGATGAACTGCTCTTAAAATTTTTGCTGTTTTTTTGTTTTTTTGTTTTTTTTTAATGCAAGTAGCTTTTTATATATTCTTATTACCTAAAATTGTCTAAACCTCTCCACAACGCCCGTCCAATAGCGAAGTTGTTGTCAAACTAAATCTGTCTTTCCTGCTCTTTCATCTGAAGTAGAGTTGCAACAATTAGTCGATTAGTTGTTGCTTTTTTACTCAAAACGATTAATCTATTTTGATAGAGTCATTTTGTAAGAAAACTAATTCACTGATTTCAGCTTCTCAAATGTATTATATAATATAATAATATTTTCTGGCTTCTTTTGTCTATGGTAGTAAACTGAATATCATTTGGTTGTGGACAAAACAAGACATTTGAGGACACATTTGCGAAACGCTCATCAACATTTTTCACCATTTTCTGACAGTTTATGGACCAAAAAAAATAATCGATTAATCATGAAAATGATCAACAGCCTAATTGATAATAAAACTAACCGTTGAATCCATGTCTCACCTTATTATTCCCCGATACTCGCTCTGTTTCATTTTCAATTTCTTGCCTGATTTCATCAAAATCTGTGTAGATCTGCAAAAAGTGAAATAGAAAGATATGAAATCAGGCAAGGATCAACAGTAGTCATTTAATATTTTGTATGATAAAAATCTTACCATATTTTTTGTGTGCAGAAACTTGCCCCACTCTTCACACTCTCTGCCTGTGACACACGAGGGGGCAAACACAGGTGTGTTAACTATTACCACATGAAAGACAACTATTCTGCGTGGGAGGCTGAGCAAGCACGGCTAACAGCTGGAACTACAGATGTGGCTTTGAGGAGGGAGGGAGCACAACTAAGGAGCTAAACCAGGTTATTAAATGTGAAGACACCTGTACAGTGCACCTTTTCTCACACCCTGCCATCTGCAAGTGATTAGAAAGACAGTGACAGGAACTTGCTGAGCACCAGAAAATATGACTTTTTTCATGCTGGGCACAAAAACAATGTTGGGGCGGCCCCTACGTGTGTGTTTGCTAGCCTAAAATAATGACTTGTACAGTAGGCAAGAGTCCCGACATAAAAAGGACTGACGTAAAATCCAAAAACAACAGTGGACTATTTAGTGGAGTCTTTGGTCTGAAAGACTGCTGACACTAGAGGGATTTTGGTGCTTACCACTTTCATCATTTTTCCTTGCATCTCCTGGATCTACATGGACCAGCTGGAGGATGAGAGGTCGCCTGGTTACGACACCAGTCCCACGGGGCAGCAGGTCCCTGCCCACCAGGCTCTCCAGCACTGAGCTCTTACCACTGCTCTGGAGACACAAGACGCACACAGAGAGAAGAGTTAGAGGAGGGATAAACCAAGGGACTGAATCTACTTTCTGATTTAACACACCAGATCCAGCCCTCATATGGAACCATGCTGGATCAGGCTACAGCCAACACAGCTAATTGCACCTGTCTTTTCCTCAAGCTATGACCTGGTTTGGGCTAACAGAGGATAGTATTAAAATAGCACTGATTGAATATGATCAAAATAGATTTCACTGCCAGCGCAAACTATGCAGATGAGATGTGCAGTAGGTTTTAGCAGACCAGCCTTGGTCCACAAAGGCCTCTGAGTAGCCTGATCAGTTCGTTTTGGTAACGTTATCTGAATCTAAATATGTACTACTGCTCTAAATGTAGGTATGTTTCTTCTAATAATGTGATCTCTATCTGTGCATGCATTACGGTAAAGTAATGTTACCTAGCTAGCATGGCAGCCCCTAACGTTGTATCACAAAATACTCACAGTCGGATCATTTTTACCTGAGTCCCCACTACTGCTATCTGCGGCAGCTGTATGATATCCGCACCGACTGTGTTGAAGACATCTTGGAGCTTGTTTATTACGGGGATAAGAGCCTCCATGTTCGCGGTTTATGAATCAAATAAACCTGCTATATTCGCGATGGAGCCAAAGTCATTCAATGTCCCACCGACACCACCATTGCAACAACACCCACTGGACGGACGATATTTATTGTGCAATATTGGGAGTTGTAGTTCTCCAGTAAGGAACAAGTACAGCTCAGACAGAGGAAAAGACTACAATACATGAGCTCCGATTAACGCGATACTCTAATGTTCTCGCGCATGCGTATTGTTGATGACGGGCTAGCTTTGTTAGCCGAGTAGACTGGTTGATTTTCTCCCTCAAACCTTTTAAGTTACTGCCAGATTTTAAATCATTAAGCTCGCCTGCTGTTGCCAAGCCTTCGTTATTCCACCATGCTACAGTTCCTGGTGAGTTTAAATGAAGTTATCATACATGGCATCGACGTTTGCCAGGATGTTAAGAGTTGCGAAACCAGCCCAGCTAACGTGTTAGCATAATGATCATTTGCTGTCAAATGTGTTGATGGTTTTTTAATTAAAAGTCTCCAGTTTAACGTTTGTAAACAAACCTGAAAAGTACAGCTAACGGTTAAACATGCCACCTCAGAAAAGCCACTTAAATTGGCGTTAGCTTGAAATTTAGGAGATGTTACTTCATCAGTCAGATATTTCGGCCTTGACTGACATTTGTCGTTTGTCTTTCCAGGCTGGCTTTACCTTGGGAAATGTTGTGGGGATGTACCTGGCTCAAAACTATGATGTAAGTTTGTTGAAGTTAAAACTTTACATTGGTCTATAAATATAGTTCCACGATTCAGTGGAGTTATGTGATGGCGCAATGGATAAGAAACTTGCCTTTGGTGTGAGAGACCCGCGTTCAACTCCCCCATCTACCACTGTGTCCCTGAGCAAGACACTTAACCCCTAGTTCTATAGTAGTGCTGCAGGAGCTGTTCATCCCCCCCCCCGCCCCCCCATGACATACTTTGACAATAAGGTCGTCTGTACACCTATAAATAGGTTGGACAAAACACATGTCAGTATACTGCAGTACACTTCTATTAAATAATGGCAACAAACTTATAACTTTCATGAAGCTGTGACTGTTGTGTAACTGCAGTTTACTGCATTATTTTTAGTTTGGTGTACCTAATAAACTGGCAATTGTGTATGTGTATCGGATTGTACTGACTGTACTGCGCTTTCCTTTTGAGGTTCCCAACATAGCCAAGAAAATTGAAGCCTTTAAGAAAGATGTGGAGGCCAAGAAGAAGCCCCCAGAGTGAGCAGAGCGGGACCATGTTGCAACAAAGGACTCTCGAGAGAAACTATTTATTTTACACTGTTATGGTATAAAGAGGGTACATATGATGAAAGGACTGACAATGTAAAAATATGTATGAGAATATTAAGTGCCTGGAACCACATTTGTTTCTTCCCTTAGCTTTATAGGTATGTTGTTGTTGTAGCCTATTTTTATAAGGAACTGTGCAAATGCTGGATTTAAAGAATATTACAGATAACTAGTGGGATCAATAAAGTCCAGTATCATGGCACTGTAGGCTCGCATTTTCTTTAACTTACACATCAGGTGTAAATATTTGTAAAGCTTGCTGTTGCTACTCAGTGTTGTATTCCACAAAGTTTCAACATTTTCCTTCACAAGCTTCCAACTTATCAGTAACATCTGCCACATGTTTTGTGACATTTAGTACGAACACAATTCTGAATCTTTCAGCTTATAATAAAGTTGTTGATAATGTTAAGTCTTTGCTTCATGAACAAATGTCAATATTACTGGCAAAGTTGTGCACTCATTTGTGGGAGAAAAACAAAATCATTGCTGCACTGCACTGGTTCCAGCAGTCTACTTTAGTTGGCATCACAAATGTGTCCACCAGATGGCGCCACTAGCAAGGCATTTCTATTTTATGATCACTTAAACCAAAAAGGTAAAGAATTTATTTAGGTTTTGCAAAAGTTATTGTCTACTTTTTCTTCTTCCGTTTTGTTCCTTTAGTCTTTTTCTTCTTTTTGTTGGAATTGTTTGAATTTGGCCACCCAAAGCCCCTGAACTCTAGACAGTCCACTGCATTGTGAGAAATGTAGTAGACATTCTCCATGGCTGCCGGGCTGAGGATGTCCACCTCTGTCTTGGTGGATTTGGCACTAGAGGACGTCTTTTTGGGTGTTTTGGGACTCCCAGTCTTCTTGGTGGGTCTCGAACTGTGGGAGGTTGATGTCCGGGATTTGGTGGGCTTTGAAGAAAATACACGTGGTTTACTGCAATTTCCTCTACTTTGAATGGTTTGGATAGTTTTTAATGTTACATATACTTTACCATACTGAAGGATGTCTAGGTCACTTCCAGTATGATGGATTATTTACCCATCTGTAAAATGAGACATGTATGCAGAAAAACATTATAATAAACAAGACTATTTAACGAATAGGAATTACATAAAGTGCTTTTTCAAAACAGCTTCAAATTGTCACAATTTAAATATTTGTTTCTCTTACCAGTTCTGGACTTGGCACTTCTGTAAATGGTAACTGACTGGCTTGAACTAGGACAGCGATACCCCATTTGTTTATGTCCTGTTGTCGTAGAGACAGTGCAGACTCACTCACTCATGAAGGGGTTGGCCTCTTACACAAGCCTGTAAATTCTTTTGTTGCATCTGAGATGCAGCTAGGCTGCAAATACAACACAAAGCTTAACACGATTGTGAGTGTGAAGGGCAGCTAAATGTAAGTTGTAATTCAAATAAAAGCCAACAGCCAGCTAAATCTTCGTTTTATTATTAGTGCAGTGGAATTCATCACTTGTTAAGACAATTAGCTTTCAAATTCTTTGGCAATTATCACCAAATTCCCCTGATTTAAAAAGCCCTTGCATTCACATTGTGAAAATGTAGTTTTGACATCACTGTGACATTTATATACATTCAGGAAATGTTACACAACCGAATATCATGCAGAAGCTCTTGGCCTCCCAATCATGCAATATCAATAAATATCCACAGCCACAACAAGATTGCAGTCACTGACAATGAGAAATCCAATATGGACCCATGAAACCTCTCAATTTTGACACACAACACCCAAAATAAAAATGCACTGCAAGCAAATTATCTCTGACATCAAATTCAACAATCAAACTGTGTGCCAATTTACTGCACATACAGTAGTAGCATGACATCTCACAAGTTGCATTCCAAAAGTGTCAAAATAAGCTTTTCTGTAGCAATAACAATGAAGGAGGTTTGCGGATCACCTGCATAGTCATGTTTTTTCTTTGAAGGCAAAATTTGCTTTAAGAAGCCTCTACAGTAACAACACAATAACAGCTTTGTCTTTTGTGTAAACTGATACTTAAGTGTCTGGTGGCAGCAGGGTGGTGGTGTGTCTGTACTTTAACCAGAGGACATCACTTCAAGTAGGGTATCTGCCCTGCTGATCTGTCTGTCTAAGAGAATACAAATTCTAACCAGTATCGGGGTTTTTGACCTCGACGTTCCTAACTAATGAGAGAGAGAGTAACATGTTATTAAAATCACTTTGTGGCAGTGATGCAGGAGCAGAAAGACATGTTTAATGCAGCGCTCCATGCATTTAAGCCCTTGAGGGTCAGAAAAAGGGTCAAAAGGGGGCGCTCTACTGCGTAGAGATGAGTTGGACTATCATGCGGATGATGCGGGAGCCACGGGGGCAGGTGCACAGGTCCATGCTCGGGTTCCTGATTTTGTCCTCTAGCAGCTGGTCCAGCTCCCAGCGCAGCTCCTTCACCAGCTCAGCCACCTGGGTAACACACGCACACATTTACAGAGCCAAGGTCATTTGTGTACTTTCTTCCATTTGCCTTATACAGTCACTTTGTTCATGTTAAGCTGTAACGTTCTTTCTAATGTTTTTATCCCGCATAAATACCCATGTTTCACAATTTTTCTACTTTACATTTCAGTTTATTACAAAGTGAAAGTCCACAAAGAATGTAAAATGCGTTTTGGACTATTATTATGCTCATTACTATGACTTTTATGCGACAATATATGTGAGTGTAGTGCACTCTTGTCTTCGGAGTCCTCGTAAAAGACTGTAAAATCTTTCAAGCATATTAAACAACTTTACAAACAGCTTGTAAAGTTTTTACAACAGCATCAGTCACTAAGGTTTAGGTCATACTTATTGATCATCAAACTATCACTGTTTTAAAAATGAAATGAAATTTGCAAAGATACCTTTATGTGCAGAGATAATTCAAAACAACGTGGTTCATGTGAGACTAAACTACTGAAATCGCTGTCATGTCTTATCCCTGACCTGATGAGAAGCGGCAGCAAATCGGATCCAGCCATCATCGAGAGAGATGACAAACTCTCCCTTGTGCAGCTCCATGTTGACCTGCCCGCCTCCAAACAGCACCAGTGCGTAGACTGACACCATGCTGCAGTCCCTGATGAAAACACGGCTCGTTTTCACCTTCTCGTGGTAGACTAGGTAGGGGCTGTTGTAGTGGCGAACCTGCAGCACAAAGAACACGTCACGGTGGCTTGTTGCGCCGACTAGCTGCTGAATACAAGGTCGCGTTCTTTTCTCTTTTTATCTCACCGTGTAGTTGACTGACGACGGGTGCACGTGGACGCAGCCGTCGCTCTTGGTCATGAAGCTGAACTCGTTGGCTTTGGGCTGCATCTTCATCACGCCTTTGCTGGTCATCTTGTAACTCCCCTGAGGAGATCGCACCTGGAACAAAGCATCCGACACGGGATAATGAGCATGAGCCAAGTAGAGAAACCAGGCTTCAGATTCTTACTCCATTGACAGAGGGAATTAATATGCACCTGGACCACATTGGGATAGAGGGCTGCACAAAGCATGGCGGACATCAACCGGATGTTTTCTGAGTTCAAGTTAGCCTGAAAAGGAATGACATTTATTGTTATTTATAATGATTATTATTATCAGATTCTCTTCAAGATTAAGGTTGGACTGTTATTTACATACATAAATTAAATTCTCTACATAATAAGAAAGACAGAGGTAGTAGACAAGCAATGTTGTACAAAGGATGTATAGACATCCAACGAAGGTTAAAATCAAGGGCAACTGGACTTGGCTGAAGATACTGGAAGACGTTTCATCCCTCATCCAAAGGACTTCTTCAGTTCTGACTGACTGGCAGGGAAACTCAGCTATTTAACCTCAGTGGGGTTGTTAGCCCGGGTCATCGATACCGCTGGTTCGTTAGTGTTCCTTGTTGCTGTGGCGACAGTCGTTAAGACTACCTGTGGCCAAGACTGAACGACCATCGTTGGTATCTTCACCTGAGGCCAATAGGTTATGTTTGTTGAGTTTCCTGGGAAGTGATGAAAGGACAGCATTGTAAGTGGGGGATCAGTGGTGGCGTAGACCCCCTCCCCTGTTCAATGACGGCTTCTCAACCCTGCTGTAGATGGCTTCCTTGACACCTCTTTCAAACCATCCATCTTCTCTGTCTAAAATGTGCACCTGGTGGTCCTCAAACGAGTGTCCTCTGTCCTTCAGATGTAAGTAGACTGCAGAGTCTTGACTTGAGGAGTTGGCCCTTCTGTGTTGAGCCATGCGTCTGTGTAGTGGTTGTTTAGTCTCCCCAATATACAGGTCTGTGCATTCCTCACTGCATTGGACTGCATACACTAAATTGCTTTTCTTGTGTTTGGGTGTGCGGTCTTTGGGGTGTACCAGCATCTGAAAATCCTCCTGCGTTTCTCTGATACTCCAGACACGTATGGAATCACAATGTTGTTGCGTTTGACCTTCTTTTCCTCATCACAGCCACAGAATCGGCCATTAGGAAAAACAAATTAACAGAAACAGAAGCGGAACAGCTCAGACTAAAGGTATCTGCAGCCCTTTCTAATGCGAAGGCCCCCCCTTCCAACCTCACCATCCAAGAAAGGAAGGCTGTGACATCTCTGAGCAAGGATCAAAACATCACTATCCTACCAGCTGACAAAGGAAGATGCACGGTAGTACTTAACACAGCTGACTACCAGAACAAAGTCAACACACTACTAATGGACACAAACACGTATGAGACACTGAGACGAGACCCAACCAGCGGATACTAGAAAAAGGCCATAGAATGTCTACAATAGTTACAGAAGGACAACACAATCACCCATGAACAATATTACCGTTTGTATCCTGGAGAAGCCATTCCTTGCATTTATGGACTAACCAAGATACACAAAGAAGGAGCCCCACTCAGGCCGATTATCAGCAGCATGAACTCGGTCACCTACAACATTGCCAAACACATTTCTACCATCTTAGCTCCATTGGTGGGAAACACGCCTCACCACGTCCAAAACTCTATTGACTTTGTAAACAAAGTTCGAGGACTAAAACTGGATCCAGATGAAACCATGGTATCCTATGACGTGACTTCTTTGTTCACCTGCATCCCCACCATAGAGGCAGTAGAAACCGTTAGGAAACAGCTAACACAAGACAACACCCTGGACAACAGAACTAGCCTCAGCCCTGACCAAATCTGCAAATTACTTGACCTCTGTCTAAACACCACCTACTTCCAGTACAACGGTGGATTCTACAGACAGAAGCATGGCTGTGCCATGGGCTCACCGGTATCCCCGATTGTGGCATGCATCTACATGGAAGAAGTGGCGAGTAAAGCCCTCAACTCCTTCAGAGGAATAGCACCGAGGCACTGGTACAGATATGTGGACGACACCTGGGTCAAAATCAAAAGCCAGGAAGTGCAAGCCTTCACAGAACACATCAACTCTGTGGACAGTAATATCAGGTTCACACGAGAAGATGTTCACAACAATAGTTTGGCCTTCCTGGACTGCGCTGTACACATTGAAGAGGACAGGAGCCTGCAGATTGGTGTTTACAGAAAACCCACACACACAGACCAATACCTACTGTTCGATTCCCACCACCCACTGGAGCACAAGCTAGGGGTCATGAGAACACTGCACCACAGAGCGGAAAACATACCAACAAGCGTCCAAGCCAGAGAGAAGGAACAGAACCACCTGAAGGGGGCACTTACAGCCTGTGGATACCCTAAATGGACCTTTGTGAAAACAGCCACAAGATCCAAGAAGAACAAAACTACAGGGGAGGAGGAAAACAAGGTCAAACGCAACAACATTGTGATTCCATACGTGTCTGGAGTATCAGAGAAACTCAGGAGGATTTTTAACAAACATAACATCCCTGTGTTTTTTAAACCCAAGAACACACTAAGACAGATGCTGGTACACCCCAAAGACCGCACACCCAAACACAAGAAAAGCAATCTAGTGTATGCGGTCCAATGCAGTGAGGAATGCACAGACCTGTATATTGGGGAGACTAAACAACCACTACACAAACGCATGGCTCAACACAGAAGGGCCAACTCCTCAGGTCAAGACTCTGCAGTCTACTTACATCTGAAGGACAGAGGACACTTGTTTGAGGACCACCAGGTGCACATTTTAGACAGAGAAGATGGATGGTTTGAAAGAGGTGTCAAGGAAGCATCTACACCAGGGATGAGAAGCCGTCATTGAACAGGGGAGGGGGTCTACGCCACCACTTATCCCCCACTTACAATGCTGTCCTTTCATCACTTCCCAGGAAACTCAACAAACGGAACCTATTGGCCTCAGGTGACGATACCAACGATGGTCGTTCAGTCTTGGCCACCGGTAGTCCTAACGACTGTCGCCACAGCAACAAGGAACACTAACGAACCAGCGGTATCGATGACCCGGGCTAACGACCCCACTGAGGTTAAATAGCTGAGTTTCCCTGCCAGTCAGTCAGAACTGAAGAAGTCCTTTGGATGAGGGATGAAACGTCTTCCAGTATCTTCAACCAAGTCCAGTTGCCCTTGATTTTAACCTTCATTGGATAACTATGACCTGGATGACTGAGAATCTTCATAGACGATGTATAGACATGTATTGGAACAACAAATAAATAAAACACTTCCAGCACTACACTGTACGAGAGAGTGTGTGTGTTACCTCTGGGCCGGTGGCCTCTACAACACCATCAGTGCCGTTAGAGCACATGCGCTCTATAATCCTGGCCCTCAGTCCCTCCTTGATGAAGCCAATGTCAGACAGCAGCTCAGCAAACTGCCTCTTCAGACTGGCGATCTCCTGCACAGGTAACAACAGACATATTTTAAGAAACGTATTTTAATGTGAAGATAAGCTACAAAAGACAGCATTAAGAAGTGGTGGATTTAAAAAGAAAACACACAAACTAAACACTGCCATGTTCCCTGGCCCATGCCTAGGAACTCTCTGCACTGTGCAGCATTACACAATGGTAGAAGAGAATGGATGGAGGTGGATACCTGTAAGCCACGCCAAGACAGAAAGTTCTCCCTGCAGTAAAGGAAGCCGGCCCGGTTGCCATTCTTTGCAGCACAACACCATCCCTGCATTTAATCATTTGAAAAGTTATTTGCATTTGGGAATTTATACATATAAATACTGTTTTTGCGTTATTTTTCCAGAGAAGATAAGCTCAGTACCTTATATGCCTGTAACAAAGCTAGATGGTCACTATTGGCCAAAGCAAAGGCCAGTTTCTTCTCATTGGCTTCTTCCCGCTTATCCCATGGAGACACCTGGAAAAAAGACCAAATATAGGAAGTATTTCTATATAATAAAGACACTTCTGATGAATATTAATCGTTTTGTGAAATATTCTGTGTGAAAAAAATACATACAAAGATCAAATAGCTGATTAAGGATCCTAAAATCAGCATTGTGATGCCAAGAAGTGACACACATGGTCTCTAAACAGCGGCAACTGTTTCTTACAAATGGTGATTTGAAGGCCAGACTGGCGGCGATGGTGAGTGCTGGGTCGAGGCAGCGAAAGATGGCACCAAACAGCATGAGTTTCCCGATGCGCACGTCAACGGGCAGGCAGGCCAGGTGGTAGCCCAGCGGGGTCAGTTTCTCATCTGCAGTGAGAGCGCCCAGGTCCTGCAGGCGCTGCTTGGCCGCATCCAAGCTTCCCATAGCCGGGGGTTCGATGAGCCGAGAGAAGACCGACTCCAGCGTCCGCTCAGCAAAGACATCCAGGATCTTAATTCTGTGGGGGGGAGAAGAAATTCCATCATGGTGCTACAAGTAAGGCCCCATTTCCAAGAATAAATGTGTCATACATAAGCCTCTATTATTTGCATTTACAGAGACAACAAAGCAGGTTGGCATTGTGCAAAGAGCAAACAGATGGATCTACCGGAGGCAGAGCTGCTCTAGAGGCACTCTCTGGATCTCAGGCAGCTGTTGCTCAGCCAGCTGGTGTTGGAAGCAGTGGCTGGTGAAGAGGTGGAAGCAGAGCCCTGAGGCCACGCGACCCGCTCGACCCTTCCTCTGCAGTGCGTTGGCTCGAGAAACCCACGAGTCCTCCAGGCTCTCCATGCTTTTAGATGCATCGTACCTGAAAATATAACGTAATGTATTATGTAGATTTTAAAACAATAAGTAAATAACATCCATTAACTTAAGCTAAACACATGGCTACCTTTTCTCCTTCATCTTGCCGGAGTCGATGACATATACCACGTCGTCAATGGTTACCGAGGTCTCTGCGATGTTGGTGGAGATGATAATCTTTGTGACGCCCTCTGGGGGCCGGCTGAAAACTGCCTGCTGCTCCTCATTGGACAAGCTTGAGTGGAGCGGGTACACCACACACCTAACGAGTGGAAAACACATCCACAGTAGTTAGCATTTGACTAGTAGCTAGACACTGTTTTGAAAAGGAAAAAAAAAAAAAAAAAAAAAAAAAAAGGGACACATGGGACCTTTTTTTGGACCAAGTAAAAATCAATGGAGTGCCAGTTAAAATTTCAAACCTCCCATAACTGACATCCTACACCATGTCTTGTAGAATTTTCTGCTTCTGTCATCCTGTAATGATGTAGTTTTCTTGTTGCCATGTACCAATTCTTAAAAAATTAAAATAAAACGAAAGTGTAAAAAGTAGACCAGTATTTGGATGAAACAGAGCACTCATTAAAATTGTGTATTTGTGAAAACCCTGTAGTCAACTAAGGAGGACATGTGTACATTCTTTAATTTTTAAAGGCATCAAGAAATTCACGTTTGCCACAAAAAGGAGAAAAATTAAAGCACCATAGAGCATGAATCCCCTCATGAACACTATAGCAGGAGCGGCTGACTTTAGACACAGACCTGCTTGCACCCCTGTTGTTGAACATCCTGTTTGACTTGAGCTGCTCGTAGAGCATCTTGATCTCAGCCAGGCCTGGCAAAAACACGAGCACTGCACCTGGACACAGAAACCAAAAGGTTACACCAACCTATGAAAGTCCACGCTAAAACTTCCAAAGAGTCTTAAATTCACCTCGACTAGACTGAGAATAATTCTTACCTGGAGGGTAGTTGTGTTTTCCATCTACAATCCACTCCAGCAGGCTCTCCACCAGGTCCATGTTGATCTTGTCCAGGTCCATTGCAGAAATGGTCTTCAGCACAGACTTCTTAGTATCTGCATCAACAGCAAAACAAAATGTAACATGTATGCTTCAACAGGCAGCAACAGTTTATTAGTATAAGATCAAAGAGGAGCACTTTAAGAAACCATAAAACAGATCAGTTTATGATACTTGTTGTAAACTCACCTTTGTATCTGATCGTGAGCTCCTGCAGGCTGAGCTGCTGGTCTGGAATGGAGTCTTTGACAACGTCTTTCTTAGAGAAAGACATGAAGTTCCACATGTCATCACCCAAGTCGTCCACCATGTACTTGGGCTCTCCTTTGCTTCTTCGTTCACTTGTGAAAGACAAATTCTGTTTCCCTGAGCGCATGTAAGGACTGCCGTCCTCAATGACATAGCTGGGAAAAGAAATAAAATGGTTATGTTTTGGACAGAGATTGGATGTCTCCCTTGTGTGCATGTTTTCCTCATCTCTCACTCTCTGTGTGTGTGTCTACTCCCTCCCCCTATCTGTGTGAATGGTGTGCTTGTGTTCGTCCTGTCCTCCCTCCAGGTCTCCATGGCGGAGAGGAGGTCGTGTGATTCAGGTGTGTTTGGCGTTTGAAGTTGTCAGTCGTCCTCCCGGATCCTTATTCCTCATATATGTTTCCAATCGGTCTATGATTTCATCATCCTGTTTTTTGTTGGCCTATTTTCAATTCCATCCCTCCTCTGTTGCCCTTTCTGGAGTTTCTCTATTAAAAAGTTTTTTCCCCTCATCTGAATTGATGCTCTAAGGATAGAAGAAGCTGTCGTGTGCTCTACAGATTGTAAATCCCTTTGAGGGAAATTTGTGATTTGTGATATTGAGCTAAAACTAGATTGACTATGAAGACAGTGTAAGACACAAACGGTTATATCCTTCCTTTACTGTTGATTTGCTTAGATATTTGTTGGAGTAGAGGAGGATGTACTTACCGGGATTTAGCGATGGCATCTTCAAGAAAAAACTGGTCAACGGGGAAAGTACGCCCTGAAATAAGAGAAATTCACAGAGGGGTCGAAAAAACAAAGAAAGAATCTGGATGGAATGAGGTGTCTGAAGTGAACATGTAATTTGCATTTCACGTGGCAAATTACCTGGTATATGGACAGCGGGACAGTCGTAAAAATACTCAGAGAAGAGGTTGGCATTAAGTGTTGCACTCATTAGAATGATCTTCAGGTCTGGCCTCTGCATAATCAGGTCTTTTAATACCAACAGCAGGAAGTCACTGACAAATAAAAATGGAGACGGACAGTGAGAAAAGAAAAACAAAATGACAGAAGTTTGTAGGTTATTATTTGCCCGTTTGAGAAGCTACAGTCTGAGATGACTACATTGCCAAAGCTGTTAAGTGACAGCTCAGAAGGCATAAAGACGAGCGTGAAAGCACACTTTCTGTACCATATGCGAGTGATCTGCATAATCTCACCTCTCCTCTGTTCGCTCGTGCACCTCATCCACAATGACGTGTGTGACGCCTTTGAGGTCTGCCTCACCCTCCAGCCTCCTCAGTAGCACGCCAGTGGTGCAGTACAGCAATCTGGTGGCAGACGTCTGACAGAAGAGAGTAGTCAGTGATAACAGAGGCAGAAGGGATTGTATATAATAATATAAAGCGTGGCTACATATGCTTAGGATAGGACTTAGAATATGTTTCATTTGATTTCTTTGGGCCCAGTGACTAAAAGCTGATGGCTTAAAATCCTGCAGACTAGACATGTCAAATGTGCCCGTACCCTGACACTCTCCAGGCGGATCTGGTAGCCCACTGAGTTGCCCAGACACTCTGCGCGCTCCTGTGCCACTCTCTGGGCCACCGAGATGGCAGAGATGCGGCGGGGCTGAGTGCAGATGATGTTGGCCACCTGCTCCGCTCGACCACTTAATGAGGCGTCCAGAATGAACTGAGGGATCTGAGTGGTCTTACCACACCTGCAGGGAAGTAACAGTAAAAAGGAAATATTTTTAAAGAATCACTCCAATAGGGTATAAAGTGTGGATTCAATCACTTAATTAATAAAATAGTAGAAGTACTGAGGGCCAGAATGTAACACTGCACTCAGGTTCCATACATTCTTGCTAATAAAAAAAACACTGTGCTACTGAGCAGTATAAATTTCTGTTCTCGTTTCAGTTTCATGTTTCCTTCAATTGAACCAAATTGAGTTTAAATAAATAGCCTTTGTCCTGTTTGAGTCTTTGTGAATGCCTGCACGTTATGCTGCCCTGTGTGACCCACCCAGTCATCCCGCTGACCACCAGCACCTGGCACCGGTCCAACAGGTCCAGGATGTTTTCTTTTTCTTGCCAAGCCGGCAGCTTCCTCCTCTGCTCCAACATGGACCTAAAACGCCTGGATGACTGGGTGAACAGAAGGAAGGGAAAGGAGGACAGCAATGCATTAAAAAAAAAACAACACCACATATGATAAAAATGTACAGATGAAGATGTTTTTTATCAGTCAGTCCCAGCCTCCTTCTACCTGTTTCTTCTGAAACTCTCGGCACAGCTTGCCATTTTCTTGCAGTAGGTTGTCTATCTTCAGGTTGTGCTTAGTCACCATCTTCTTCCTCAGATTGACATAACTCTCATTCTCGACTGGAACGGCCTCATCCTCATCTTCCTCATCCCTCTCGTCCAGCTCCTCTGCCTCTCCTGTCTCTTTCACTTTAAAGAAAGAGGCGATGGGATTTAAACTCATATTTTTAAACATAAATACAGGGCTGAGCTCCATTTGATCATTCAAACAAACAATCTTGTTGACTCACGATCGGTGGGTCTTTGGCTGTTAGGTGGAGCAGTGCTTCTGCTGTTGGTATGATTACTGCTATTGGTAATGTTACTACTACTACTACTCCTGCTTTCCCCAGAAGCATTGCTCCTCACACTCTTACTCTTTGCTATAGAAAGAGACGGTGGAGGGACCACAACAACAGGCGGCGGCGTGCTGTATTTGTGATGACCGGCAGCCAGCAGTTCATTCATGGTAGTTTCATCCTCACACACGGTGATCAGAGTGTAAACGACAGGCTCGCTGCTCCTTGCTGCAGCCAACGCTTCTCCAAACAACCTTTCAGTGACGCTGAGCCTCCCTGCAGCACTGATGGATTCGTCGGTGGTGCTGAAGGCGACTATTGGTGCTTGAAATGGGTACCGGTTTCCTTTGGGGAAACGGACCTGTAGTTCATACTCAGGAGGAGAATAGCTGCTGAAGCCAGGCTGACTCGGACCGTCCAGGTTTGGGGAACCGGCCCCAGATCTCCCTGTAGAGAGGAGTTGGTGCTTAAACTTGCATTTGTCCCCAAACCGGCAGCCTTGCCCTTTCATGTAGAATCGGCAGACATCTCGGATGTTAAGAGCTCCTCCACCACCTCGACTCCCGACTCTCCCACCATTCTTGGCAGCATTGTCCGAGATGAATGAGAGGTCCAGGGTTACTGTCCAGACTGCATTGGCAATGCGCTCACTGAAGCGCTCACCGTAAATGGCAGTGAGAGCCAGAGCTTCTTCCTGCCTCTGGCTCAAACACTCATCCATAGGCACCCCTTCAAGGCCATCAGGGGAAACTGCTTTCTGGCCGTAGCGCTCACTGAAAACCTGGTGAAGGAGATGTTCCAAAGTAGCGCCGAATTCCCCTCCCAAAGATTCCAATGCTTGCTTGCTGCGCTCCCTGTCAAACCCATACCTAAACAAAGGAAAGATGAGAAAATAAAAGGGTAGAGGACAAGGAAAATTATTTTTTTCATTCCTGACAGCATAACAGCAAAAACACTGGCTTAAGATCAAAGGCAGTGTAACAGTCAACTCCAAAATCTTTCATAAAAGACATAAAATCTGTACATCACCTGCAGAGTTTTCCTATGGCAAATAAGGAGATGATAGGTTCAGGGGTGGGCCGTTCATCATCAGACTCTAGCTCATATGCTGGGCTTTCTGCTCTCTCTAGAGGCTCGTCGTTAGTGGCCCAAAACTGGCCTTCCGCACGGTGGTCCAACTCATCAAAATCCTCATCATTCTCTTCGCCCCCCGAATAGTCCGTACCAGATTCACTGAGGCAGAGCGGAAGATATGAGTTCACGTGGAAAAACATCACTTTATTGAAACATGTCATTTTCTAGCGTTCCAGTTATTATCTTTTTAACACATTAAGGAATGTACTCAGTAAATTTTAAGTATATTCAGTGGAATCTGCTTACTCATATGGCTCATCAAAGTCATGGGTCTGCAGATCCCTCAGCAGCTCCTTGAGTTGTTCTTGGTTCTCATTAGTCATGAAGATCTTCTGCAAGGGCATAGTGCTCACCGCCGGCCTGACGCCATCACCTGACTTTGGGCACGTACTGGTCCTTGCCAGGGACCTTGGGAGAGCCTTGCCAATGCTTTTCCCGCTGCCTCTGCCGTCCCTGCCTCGATCTCTACCTCCCCTTCCTCGACCGCCATCCCTGCCACCTGCACTGCTGCCGCCGCCAGCACTGCCGCTTCGTCCTCTGCCAGGTCTGGAGGCAAAGTCAGGTCAACAAGGTATACAAGAGAGATGAGGATTAACGGGGAAATCAGTAGGAAATGAGCACACAGTGATACATTTTAAATCGGATGATTTATTCCTTTGTTATAAATGTATACCTGCTGGAACGAGAGGGTCCAAAATCAAGGCTGAAATCATCGTCGTCGTCATCCCACTGATGAGCTCCTCCTTTCCTACCTCCACCTCCGCCTCCGCCTCTGCTTCCACCTCCACCACCTCTACCTCCTTTAGGCTTGTTAAATTTTCCCCCTCCTCTGTTTGGCCTCCCACCTCGTTTCCTTGCATTCATTTCTCTGTTAAAACATACATGAACAGTTTCATCACAGTATTTTTAAGCAAAGTATCACCACCAGCACGTCATAGATTGCATACAACACTGTCAGACCAACGTACACTCACCTTCAATTACTGTCCTTTCATAGCAGCAAACCTGCAAAGAGAGATATAAAATCTTCTCAGATCTGGGTGTAATAATTCAGGAGAGCGCTGCGATTTGCGGACCCGGGCAGAGCAGGCAGCTACTGTACAACAACTGCAGTGTACAGAGTCGCACATAGCTGTGGGGTGGTTCGTTGTGGCACTTCAGTTCAAGTGTGAGCAATGAGATGGTGGCTGACACACACAGCGCTGGTGGCTACAATTATGCAATCATACTGGGTATGCAGACTAAAGACTAACAACCAAACCGGGGCAATGACCATTTACGTCCACGCCTGGCTGCCTGACAATGTGTTTTGTTAGCAAGTTCCAAAGAAACAGGGTAACAGCTTGTATCAGAAATAACGTGGTATTGTGTCGCGTACTCTCGCACGTCAGTCACCCAAGTATACAAAGCTACAGCCAGCTAACAGCTAGCAAGCTCACGCCTCACTTCTGATTTAACAGGCTAACGTTAGCTGGGGGAAGATTTCTCACGGGTCAAGTCAAAGGGTTTAAACGCTTAAGAAAGCCACGAAAATACGGCAACACATTGAACACGATTAAGTACAAAAATACTTGAAAAACTTAACTTTCATAACAAGCATGAACAAACCTGAGACAGTTCGACCACCGGTAGCCTGCATCTTCTTCATTGGTGGAAACCCAAAGTTCAAAGAGTCCTTTCCGGTGTCCGGTACGTTTGAGCTAGAAAATGCACAATAATTGGTGAATATATTTTATATGCAATATATGTAGGTTGTCGTACTAAATTAAAGGCGATATATGTTGAGTAAACTACGTTTTGTATGAAAAGAGTTACGCTATTTCCAAAAAAGCTTTCAAACCTGTAACCATGGTAACCGCAGTTTGCATCGAGCAATAACAACACAGAAAGCTGGCTCCCTGTTTTATAGTGGTTATTTTTAGGGTGATTTGGTGAACAAATATAGCTTGAAGTTTGCCAGTGTCGATTTATCAGTTGTTTGACTTTTCCCATTACAAAAATTGGCCTGTGGACAGAGTCTCCTCTCGGCTCTGACAACCATCTGCCGGCTGGGGGAAGCTGTCACGGATGTCTGGTAGAGTGTGATTGTGAATATCTCATTTCTAACAGCCACCACGACTTCTCATGTCTTTCCGATCTGCTGTCTCTAAATGTGTGTCATTTTCACTTTCAGGCAAGAAGGAAAGTGCCTATTTAAAAACTCAAGGTAAATATCCAAGTTTTTCACACACCCACATTTGCATATCTGACAGCTGAGGTGCTTGATGTGAATATGTCTGTCTGTTTACAGGGGAAGGACCTATAAAGGTGTCGTACATTTTTCCAAATGGGGACAGATATGGTGAGTGATAACTGATGATATAGCTTTACACTTTTACATTACAGTTACATAGGTTTGTGTCATATTCTGTACTCCACAGAGGGGGAGTGCAGCAGGTCTGCATCAGGGGTGCTGATGAGGAGTGGTACTGGTAAACACACCTCAGCAGGTGGTATCATATACACTGGAGAGTGGCATGAAGACAAAGTATGTATTTACTGTGTGTGTACTGCACTTCTTCTGATATATGTTACTACAGACTGTGTGGTTGTATTTTCCCTGTGGGTAGTTATACATGCTTGCTTTCTCTCTCTCTCTCTCTCTCTCTCTCTCACACACACACACACACACAAAGATGCATGGCAGAGGGACCATGCAGCATCCCTCTGGAGCACTATATGAAGGAGAATTCAAAGACAACATGTACCAAGGCACAGGGACATATACCTTCCCAGATGGCTCTTCTTACAAAGGCCCCTTCCACAAGAACAGGTGAAAAGCAATTCCTTAGTGTCATTCCTTTAATGTTTTCTGAAAAGAGTCATGTCTTTTAGGAGTTTCTAAATGACTGTACTGTAGGGCTGTGGTCTAAATGATGCTCACTGGTATTACCACAGAAAAGGAGTTGGGCTCTAGTTGTATATTTCCTGAACCACCAATGCTTTAGTGCTCCTTAATATGCCATTTCCTACTTAAATTTATTGTGGCATAGGTGAAGGACAAGACCACATTTCTGATAGTAGATGTGCTGCTCACCATTACACTGTTTTGTGAAGCCACTTGAACCCTAATATTTCCCCTTAAGCAGTTTCAAATTTAGACTAGAACTACAAGCAGTTGTAAGCGGGGTCCAAGCCTCCCGGCGCAAGCCGCCCCTCCTGGCCCCGCCGAGGGGGCGCGAATCGGCCCGGTCCCGCCATGATTAATTGTCCCATTATCACGGGCCCCCGAGCCACGGCGGGGCCTGTGGAGAATAAGTGAGCAGAGTTATAAATGAAAGGGGCTTGCGGTTACGGAGAAGTGAAATTAATGTATGTCTATGGGAGTGTTATTCGATTTCCAACTAATAGCGCCACCTAGAGGCCGATTGACGCCATATTTTACACAGTCCCTCGGGAGGGCGTGGCACATAAGGTCCCCGAGCTGGGTGTAGATGGGCCATTGCAAACGTAAGATCTGACATGACATCCTGGTTATAGCGTTTGCGCAAAAATTTGTTGGCCTATAATTCGGCCGTTTTTTTGTCGGATCAAAATTCCCTCTACAAACTTTCTTCTTCGGTCTAGAGATGGTCCGTGCCAAATTTCGTGACGATCGGAGTTGCGGCTTTGGAGGAGTTAATTAAAATAGGTTTCCAGTTGTCGCGATTTAGCGAAATGAAAACGTCATTGCACAAAGGCGTGTCCTACACCATAGGAATCGGCAGCATCCCCCAAACACGTAGACACAAGGTTTATGGGATTGTCCGGCCACATTTGAGCTTCGATTATAGCGCCACCTTTTGGCCGAATTTTGGTATCAATCGGAGTTGGTTGTGGAGATATAAAATGCATGTAAGTCAATGGGATATTTTTTGATGTCTTTAATCTGTAATAACAGCGCCACCTATGGGCATATTTGGGTGAATTTTGGTGCCTGTAGTAAGGGGACCATGCTGAACAATTCGGCTGTGGTTTCATGTCAATGTGACTTGTGGTTATAGAGGAACAATTTTTCTGGATTAAATAGCGCCACCTAGGGGCAAGTTGCACAGGGGGGCGTCCCACATGAATGCTCCAAATTTGGTGTCGATCGGCCTTTCCAAAGTGAATATATGACATCATTTCGTGTTTGTAGCGTTTTTCGCAAACGTTTGCTAGCATAGAATTGCGACATTTTTTGCGGGATCAAAATTTCCTCTACAAACCTTCATCAGCTTGGTCCAGAGATTATCCGTGCCAAGTTTGGTGATGCTTGGACCCCTAATAAAAAATGTTTTAAAAAAAAGTTATTTTGAGATTGAGACCCAAGACCTGATATATTTTTTATTATTATTATTTTGTTGTACTTTTGGCCATACAGTTATATCAAGTGTAAGATTTTTGATGTTTTCACTGGTGTGTTATAGGTTGGAGGGAGACGGAGCGTTCACTGACACACAGGGACTGGTTTGGATTGGGGAGTTCCACGGCAAAGCAGCACTGGGCCTGAAAATGCAGCACAACATTTAGGCAAAACACGCATTATTGTACTGCACTGTATTAACACTGTATGATACAGTATATTGTACATTAAAAATTAACGGTATCAGACCATATTAGTTGCATCATGTATGAAGACACTGTACAAAATGCTGACTGATAGACCTGTGTTTCTGCCCACATCCAAACATCACACACCCATGTATTTCTGTGTACTGGTGGTTAAACATCCATGCACTCAGTGAGTCATGTCTCTTTCCTGGCCATGGTGCTCCAACACAGCCAGTGTCTCTTTGTGTAAGCTTCATGTTACTCAGAAAATATGACATTGGTGTTATTTTTGACACTTTGTCACTCTGCTTTTATGTTGCTGCGAGACGTGCATTACATTCTGCATTAACAAATCCAGGAATACTATTAGCAAGTTTGCTCAGTTGCTTAGACTTTCATTTTGGCAAACCTGTGATTCCAACTATAAAAAATAAATATTATCTACCATTAAAATAGAAAAAAAACTCAACAAAAGCCCCAAGCATTTTTCATTTCTCCCTGGTTGTACCATATCTTGACTCTCATCAGGGTGAAGGATGAGTGCAGGGCAGTTTTACATCATTACAACACCAGCCAATCACAGAGGGGCTTATGCTCACGTCCCTGTCAGCAACAGCTGTACCCGAAATATTGGAACATTGGCCCGAGGAGCTGTGTTTGATGTGAGTTAGTGGTAAGTTTGACCTTCACTGTTGGTGTGTGTGTATACACAGCTTTGTGTGTGAAACAGCTTCTCACCCTCTGTAACACTGCAAGACTCCTTCAACTAATAATTACGACAAAATCACACACGGTTCAGCATCGTTTAATAAGCAACTCTGATATTTTAGTATTTCATTCTATTGATTAATGCCTCTATGGATCTGTAATTGCACATACCCCTGAACAAATTCAGTGTTAAGTATTTATCTTGACTATACAGATGTGGAAATGTGTGTAACAAAAACACATATATACTGTAGTAACATCAATACAATGCTAACACCTTCTGGTAAAATACTGTACCAGATACAAGAACAGCTATTTTCTTTGATTGTACAGTTTTCAGGTAGAAAATAAAATGTTTGTATTGCAAACCTTCAGTGGTAATTTGAATGAAAAACCTTAAACATGATCATGAACAAGAACAATGAAATAAAAATAGAAAATGGCACTCAAGTTTGGCACAAGATACTAAAAAAAATACATCTGAACTTGAAATATAGCTGACATAAATTAAAACTCACAATGAGTTATTGTGTTTACTGAAAAATGTACAGCCTATGCAGTAAATCTTTAGTGCTTCAGGTGGTGTTTTGATACAAGAATGTGATGATAAATGTGTATTCATCTCTACAGGTAGTGAGCTAGATGATGGCAAGGAAGCTTTTCAAAACTTTTGCAATATATTATCTCCATAAACCTGAGAATCCATAAAGTATACAATATTATTTTTTTAAGATTTCACCTTCCTGAAGAAGAAAAATAAATCCCTTGCAATGCAGAACAATGTGAAAAAAAAGTACACTCCTTATTGTGCTGGAAACATCATTAGACAAAAATAAAATACCCTTCCAAATACCATATTTAAATGCAAACAGATACTCAGAACAAAACAATGGCCATGCACAGTTCCACAGAGATAACTGTCAAAATGATTGTTCTATACAAAGACAATGCATGTCTGCTCTTGACCCCTCAAGGCAAGTAGATAACAATCTGAACCAACCATGATATGGAAATATGTGACCATGCTTTTCTGTTTTCTGTGCTTGTTTGTGTGCTTCAGTTTTGGACATTTCCAGGAAAAAACTTAAGAGCTCTCAACTCTGGAGCCCCGCTTAGGTAGTTAGGACGTGAAGGAACGAGAAAGTTCAGTAAAGACAAACTAGAAGGAAAAAAAAGCACCATTTTTGTGACAGCTGTGTTCTTCCAAGCAAGGGTGGCAAAGTGCTTACCAAGGCCACCACCAAGGGGCTCAGTGGTTTACGTTTTGTGCTGTTGTCGGGCAACGGGGGAAAGCAGGGAGTAACAATTAACCTTTTAACTGAATTCCCGCTATTCTCAGCATTGCAGAGGGTCGACTAGCCCAGGATGGCTCAATAGAAAAGCTGGTGGGACGTACATTTGTCAAACAACATTAGTCTTGATTCGAAACATATTTTTTCTTGTAAAACCAGAAAAATACCATTTGAAAACACTTCTGATAAAGCATCCATGTCACCATGTCACCTTTGCTTGTTCAAGTAATCTCACATCTCTCACATCTCTAATCCCCCCACCTTCGCATCTCCACATTTTATTTTTAATCTACAACGGCCATAATACGCCATCGTGCTAAAACGCCGGTGTAGGTTTCAAACAGTATTTTAGGTTTTAAAAAACAAAACACTTCAAGGATGAAGACATAACTGGTTGTTTTGGTAACTGTGCAGCTGGTACATCTAGAAATAAAAAAGATACCCAGAATAGCAAGGATTCTATACAAGGTAAATTTTCTATTAAAAAAACAAAACAAATAGGGTACAGCTTCTTCTAAAAGATTCATATAGTTTTTTACTCCGAACTATCCTCTCCACATCTGGCCATTTACATGTTATTTTCTTTCTGCACCCACATACTGTTTACGTTCACATACAAACCTATACACTTACGGCTGGTATTCATATATATAATTTTTTTTGGTGACATATATGTGAGCTCACTATGCCATTTGTGGAAATATCTCTCACTTCTACATTTAGACTATCAAAAATGACCCTGTGGTTTGCTTCCAACACCTTTTTTTCTTCTTCTAGAAAATACATAAGAAAAACTTTCAAATCCATCATCAACAAACTACGACCCAATACCTATAGTGGGCTTTGTTAAAATAAAATTAAAGACATAAACTGATTAGAAATCATTTAAAATTTACATCCTCATAAAAAAAATATTCATCATAAAATGTTTAACCACACATTGATACAAATAAATAGGAAAAACATCACCAAGGAGTCAAAAAAGCACCAACATTTTAAAAAGGGGGACATATAAATTGACAAAGTGGTGAAGATATATTGTTGTGTAACACGGGTTGGGGTGGGGGGCAGTATAACTGGCCAACGCTGTCTGCTGCTACAGCGGTTTCTTATTAACAGCTACCTCTGTTGTTGCCTGTCATGTCCATGTGTGTTCACAGTAGTCATAGGCACGTTAGAGTCAATTATGTGTGTGTGTGGCATCTATCTGTACTGAGCTCACAGTAGGAAGCTCCATTTGTTGCTGCATTTCATCCTCCATCTTCTCCCATCACTGGATAGCCTATGGAGGCAGCTTCTTCGTCTCCAGCATTTTCTTCACCCTCCCCCATCCCTCCCCTCACTGATGCACTACATAAACCCCTTTCCCTTCTTCGTCCTCTGTTCAGACCCCATTTTTGCAGTAAGAACACCCCCTATGTTTGTATGCGACTTCTCCACTGCCAGCCCGCCACTCTCTCCGACCCTCTCCCTCCCCCACCCTCCATCACGGATTCTGCAGCAGCCCCTCCCACTGGATCGGCTGGGAGAAGACCTCCCTCTCCAGCCACATCTCGTAGCTGTAGTGGAAGTCCTCGGGCAGCTCCACGCGCTGGCCCAGCACGCTCTGCAGGCAATTGTCCACGGGTGCAAAGTCTCCACTCTTGTTCTTGTCGTAGCGGCGGCTGTTGAACTTCTCGATGCTCTCCCTCAGGGCGCACTCCTCCGCCTGGAAGTCCCAGGGCCGTGCGTCAATATCTGGCACGTAAGGAGAAAGGAGGGGACATTTAATCAACCTCAAGGACCCTTCTTTTAATACGTTTGAATGTCCACACAAGGCATTTCACCTTTTTCGTGGTGGTGACACAACACACAACAACACCAGTGCCTGTAGTTAGTGTTCAGCAATCTTTTCTTCCAATTTTCCACCTTATTCTCTTATTCTTCTTTTTTGCTTCTGTCCATCTTTCTCTCTTAAACTCATGGTGACAGATCATTTGCTCTCCTGTAAGGGACAGTGACCCCGAAAAGTCCCCCTTTCTCTGTTGCTATGGCAACACATCCCAGAATAGAGCATTGCATTGCATTTCCCACGCACACACACACACACACACACACACACACACACACACACACACACACACACACACTTTTTATTGACCTGAAACGTCATGTTGGGTAAATGTATTCTTTATCCTGCAGTCTCAGATCTATTAATCAGCTGTGTGTGTGAGGGTAGAGGGTGAATGCTGGGACTCATTATCTTCACCACCACTTCATTTACAAAGATCAGAGAGGCCAAGCAGAGCGCGTTCTGAGCAACACAGATGATCCCCAAATTTAATCTGAGAGTCTTTTTTTAAAATAACTGTTTGATGATGAATACACTTTTGGTTTTTTATGGTTTTATCACCATAAATCATCATGAATTATGGGTATACTAACTGAGGTGAAAAGAGGTAGTAACTGGTTGATGGAATATAAGAATAAAAAAAAGGTTGCAAACCAGCTTTCTCATTTTCATTGAAAAACATAGTCATTGTTTGGATAGGAAACTCTCTCTAATATGAGTTAATGACTATATGAAATGCTAAAAAAGCATTAAAAAGATGTAAATGCATTGAGACGAGTGAAAACTCTGCATGTATTATGTGTAGTTTATACAGTCCAGTTTACTTTTCCATTATGTAGCCTGCACCTGAGCTAAAGCACACTGGCCTGGTGAGTCACGGCTCCTGTCACCTAATTTGTGGCTTAATGTTTATTTTTTTCCTTTCAGACCTGAATCTCCTGTCATTGCATTGCTGCTGTGGATATTTAAATTTAATGTCCTTAATGCACAAAGAAGTCTAAAAAATTTAAACTGGCACTGTTGCATGCCATTTGTAATAAACTGACCAGTATGGCACTAACTCATCATAACCAAAAGTTATTTTTGTTAACTCGCTATTTACCATTTCCGTAGGCCCAGTCGTCATTGAGCCTGTGGCGGACCTTCTGGTAGATGGCCGACATGGTCTTCATGTTGCTCTTCCTCCACTGGCGGCCCAGGTACTTGGTCTGAATCTTAAGCAGCTTCAGAACGTAGAGCTGCATCATGGCCTGCTTCACCTTCAGAGCTCTCTTCAGGATGGGGGCGGACTTGAACACCACCAGCATCTGAAATTGGGAGTGAAATTGACCAGAGAAGCATGTTTGAGCATATAGTGGTCCACCAGAGGAATACTGCAAACAAAATACCCCTCAGCAGCCCATGGCTGTTTGATCTCAAAATGTGTTACAGGTCATGTATGGTTTGCAGCCCTGCTTCGCAACCTAGAAAAAACATCCACCAAGACTGCGAGAGACAAAATCCTGACCTTGATGTGGATTTGTGAAAAAAAGCCCGATTGGACATTTGCTTTTCATATGGCCTATAATACTAAGTATTTCTGATGCTGCTACAGTTTGTGTGCAATATACCAAGGAAAGTGTGTGTAGAAAGGTTGTTTTGTGCTGATCTATTTGTACCAGTTCATAATAGTGAACTGGCGCACACCCAGGGGCCCAGCATGGCGTATTCAGATGCTGATGGGGACAGATGGTAGATGTAGTCATGTGTCCAGTTTACCTAAAGCAAATTCAACATCCAATATAAATAAATTTAAATCAGGTGTTTTTTGATGATTTTCAATGGATGGTTTTAAGACTTTAAGACTCATAACGCAGTAATATGATTTATCAAATATATTGGGATGGGTAGGTTTTACAGTGGAGCCAGTGGAAAGTCACACCCTAAGACTACAGCATGAGGTTTAGCAGCAGAATTGCTCACCATTGTCCTGGAGTGTTTCCACTTGGTCAGCTTGTTTAATATTCTCAGCAGATTGATGCAAGAAAACAGGTTTCTCCAACAGAATTGGTTGTTGTCTCCTGCTTCCTAAAACACACACAGTTCACACAGGTCATAACGACACATAGAAGGCTACTTTACTAACTGACTTTCATCCAGTGAGTACCCAACAGATGACAGTGACTCACCAGGCTCTCAGCTGTGAGTTCGGGCATCTCATGGACCACACAGTGGGGGAAGTCCAGCACACATATACTGCAATGAAACGAAATGTGAAAATGTGTACTCATAGTTTATACGGTCCAGTTTACTTTTACATTATGCAGCCTGCACCTGAGCTAAAGGACACTGGCCTGGTCCTTTCACCCGCTGAGTCAAGACTCCTGTCACCTAATTTGTGGCTTAATGTTTATTTTTTCCCTTTCACACCTGAATCTCCTGTCATTGCATTGCTGCTGTGATGCCATCTGTGCCACCTCCCAAAAGCCTGCTGATGTACATTCATGCAAGATTGCAATCGTGCCCTTAATGCCCTGTGTGTCCAACATGCACATTTTTAAAAAAAAGTTACAGTAATAGCAAATAGTAGCCATTTCTGATATGAGTCACTGGAAATGTTTATAGCTGTTGTAAATGCCGAAACTGGAGGCACAGTTATACAATTTCCCAGTGTCTCCTGCCCCACACCAAGCCTTTCTTTGTTAGAAAGTACAGTGTGTGGAGAAAAGGATCCTACCTGTTTTTGGCACTGATATAGGACATGATGTTCTGATTGAAGAACTTGAGGATGAGTGGGATACAGTTGGCGAACACCAAGTGCTGGGAGACAATCTCGAACTGCAGGGAAAGAGGAGGTGGCAGTGTGGAATAGTTAGACAGTCTGGAAATGAATGACTGAAAATGTAACTCTTCCTTATCTGAATTGTTACATTTGGCCCGATACAAAAATAAAACACCACAGATATTTTAGAACCACTTTTATAAGACATTTTTAAATCATGGTTAGGACGGGACAAACCATGCAGGGAACATTTCATATCTCAAGAGAGAATAGAAGAGAAATATAATAAAAATACTGTGGCCGATAATCCTGTATCAATGATGAGATTAATGTGTGGGGAAAAGGTCAAGAATCAGGAGATTTATATTCTCATGCTGCAGCTATACAATTCCTTCATCTTGTCCACAAAGCTTTCCTCTGATTAAAAAACAGAAGCAATTCTGCTGCTGAATCTACCATATTTCAGTATTTTTTTGTTGTTTAAAACATACTGTATTTTGCCCCCCTTTTCTATATGTAATGATTCACCTTGATTATGTTTTTTGGGGATTTATATAACAAATAATGTACAGGAATAATCGATTTAGTCTTCCCACTGAAGCTGCATTTTGCCAATGTGTCTGCATGCAATCTTCTTTTGTGGCAGCAGAGGGCGCTACCACTCTAATTCCATAGAGCAGCCAATTAAAGGACTGTGATGGAATGAAAAAGAAAATAACCCCATGTAAAACTGGAAATAAAACAAAATATAAGCACATAAAATGGGGCCAAACCCTCTTTTTAAAATGTTGATTTTCTGTCTTCAACTGTGAGTCTATTTGATGCATGAGGTGGAGCAGGTGGGGGTGCTGGCCAAAGGTAAGATGGAGAAAGAGAAGTATAATGTAAGAGGAGAGAATGAAAGTAATGTGAGGTTTCTGTAGGAAGGAGGACTGGAGGTATGTGTGTGTGTGTGTGTGTGTGTGTGTGTGTGTGTGTGTGTGTGTGTGTGTGTGTGTGTATAACCTGATAAATATGGTTGAGTTTGAAGTGTTTGAGAAGCAGCAAGAGCAGAGCAGAGATGGCCTTGACGATGATTTCCTTGTGACGGTTCACGTCTATTCCCAGCTTCATGCTCTGAAGGACTGTGATACTGGAGGGCACACAGACACACAGATACACAGACACACACACACACACACACACACACACACTGGCCTTCAGGTCTCTAACAGCATTGTCTCAATAAATTAAACCATAAAGAGACAGACTGTTCACTCCCTTTTGAAAACAAGCAGATATTCTGATTAGTCTGTTGTTGATGCATCTGAGTTTTTTTCCAGGGCAAGCTAAATAGTGTACAGCGTCAAACTAAGCAGAAAGAGTACAGATTTCAGCCATGAAAATGTCAGACAAGGTTGGATTTTCTTTTTTAGTTAAATGCTTTTTTTTTTTTGCTTATTTATAACAGGCCTTTCAGCTCTCTGGTCTAAAACTAGGCCATACCACAGACTACAATCAACCCAGAATTGTATATTTTCCAATGATTTTCCATCAGCCCAAAAATGTAACAAAAAAGCAGACTTTTCTTGCTGATGAACAGAAAAAGTATCTAACAGGTATATTTTATCTTCAACTGCCTGATCTAAACATGGCTGTAGATAAAAACAGCACCATTATAATAAGATTAAAATAGTCAAACTGCAGCAGACCTTCTACAGTACTTACGGCATCTCCTCAGGCAGCACATCAGCCAAGATGTTGATGGAGTCAGTTTTGGCTTTGGAGGTTGGAGCTGCAGCCAGCAGCAGCTTCAGGAGGGCAATCTGACACAGGTTACAAAATATTAAAACACAGACCCTGTTGGAGATCTATATTTTATTGTGTAACAGGTAAAACGTACTGTGTGTTCAAATAATTGCCTACAAACTTTTAAGCCAAATGAAAACACATTTGGTGGCAAGATAATGCCAATCAGAGATACATTTAGAGCCACTCACCACGTACTGGGAGAGGTTAGGAAGCATGCCCAGGTACAGCATCTCTGCTGGTGTCTCCTCCACCTCCTCCTCGCCCTATACAACACAACACACATCAAACCATACGCACAACCAGTATGCTGGATAAATTCAACACTCATATTTCAGAAACCAAGGACAAACACAGCCTGGTTTCTATCTTGATAAAATATTCACATTAAATATTCAGTTTGTCTTTCCATGTGGCTTTAAAACATTAAAGACACTGAAACTAATTTTACAAGGCTGCCACATTTTTATATGGGGTACAAAAAGGTCATGACATTACTGACCAGAGTCAGTGGACACAGTTGCAGCTCCTCCTCCCTTTTCATCTGGACTTCAGCAATGGACACATACTTGTGCTGGAGAAGAGAAGAAAGCAATATAATAAAAGTTGTAAAATATTGTATAAAAAGGTGTTGGATTGAGTGTTAATTAGCATTGTTAACTGACATCCAGAGGGGTATTCTTCTGTGTAACTACACTTTTGAGTAAGTAAGTAAGTATGGATTTTTAAGAGGGGTGTCAATGTCAGGGAATTCAGCAGCAAAGGAGTATTGATTAGGAAACATAATAAGCCAAAGCAAAAGGAGAAGAACGACATTTTGAAATGTGAATCTGTCTGTTAGAGACTGAATGATTAAAAAAAGCCTGAGAGTGAGTTATTTACCCACTCACCTGTTTAAGAGTCTTGACGCTCTCATGGATTGGCCTGGGCAAGCCCACTAGGGTCTCTATGTCACTACAAAACAACAAACAGTTAACACCAGACTGAAAGAGGAAAAAGTTAAAAGCATATTTTTTGTGTCCAATGAAATGCCTACTTTCCCAGAGTAAAACCGATGAACTTGTTCCTACTGGTCTCAAGGAAGTGCTCGATGTCCTTCTCCCTGTACATTCACAGATGGGCTGCAGTCAGATTTTGGATTCATTTGAGAACACCTGCTGTCACAGCTCTGTATATGAACAAGCAACTTAACAGCCATTTTTCAGGGGAGCAATCACACACGCGTGCGCACACCCACACAAACAAGACCAGAGCACAGCACACTGCATTAGCTTTGTCAAATCTGTCACACTGTGAGCTGCTCTCTGTGCCTCCTACTTAATAAGCCCTGTGTGTTGCAGCACTCTGATCTATAGACATAAACACACTTAATGATAAGGTTCACTAAAGGATAGACAGAACATAGGTTTTCTGATAACTAATGCACAATAAACACAGTGCTATAACGTGTTTGTGTCCTTTCTCAGATGCATTATTCATGTCCCCAAAGCAGAGGCGGGAACCCCGGGAGGACACACATGCTTCTGTCTGGAATAGACAGATGGAGAGCGTATTGCTAGATGAGAGTGAGGAGAAAAAACTGAGAGAGAGTTTTGTCTTAACTCCTCAAACGGTGGCACAGAATCAGGGTGGGAAGCTGACACCAGCTGCCAGCTGAATGGTGCTAAGTCCTGGCTGTGGGTGGGAAGTTTTCTCTACTCTAGAGGTTAAAATGGCAGGTGGCCAACAATCACTTTAAGGTTTTATTCGGTGGAATAACAGCTAAGTGCTTTTAAACTAATAAAAAACATCCGTCAGGGATCATTTTTAGAAGCTGAAGTAATGAGTATCAGTATTATTTTTCATAAAAAGGGTCTCACTTATACGGTTTTTAATGCCAATTTGTTTGCAGGATCTGTGACTTTTTGAATTTTAGGATAATGTATGGATATTATCAGTGTAATTTATCCCAAAGTAAGGCAGAATCAATACTGTGAGAGGGCACTTTATAGCACTTTGAAAACAGGCATTCAATTGCAGCTTTTAATTGTTAACACTGTAAAAAGTCCAAATACCTTTTACCAGTATTTTACAGTTAATGGGTATTTATTTCAGACTCTTGAGTGCTGTTAAAAACTAAAGCAGAAACAAAAACTGTGCAATTAACCTGACTTTAGGGGCCCAGGGAAGGCCCTTGGGGAAGTTGACCCTTTCTGTGGGGTGTCTGAGGGGAGGCGGCGGAGGCGGCGGCTGGATGATGACATCACGGTCCAAGGGGTCCACCTCGCCCTCGATGCCGCTGTCTGTGTCCTCGGGGTCCTCTTCCTCGTCCCGGGCGTCATCGTTCTTGAAGGGGTCCCGCTCGTTGTATGTGTCCAGGCTGTCCTGCTTGACCAGGGGCTGGGAGAGAGAGAGGGAGGACAGGAGGACTGCTTATGTCAAGTCACTTATAAAACACACAGCGAGGAGTACTTAGCCCATCCCATTTTTAAAATGTTGTAAATTCCATAGGTGGAAATAGATTAATAATCCACCACATAAACTTTACCTTTTAGCATATATTTGACCTTTAGCCCCTTAACAAGCAAACTCATGCTGTGCAGCCAAACACTGTACAAGCCCACTTCATTTTAAATTCTAGTGGATATCCCAAGCTTTCAGAAAAAATACCAAAGTTTTGGGAAAATGGGTAGACCATCTGAAGGTGCAGTCATAAAAAAGTCTTGAATTTAAATATTTCACAACAATTAAGTGTTGGTGCAAGCTGATACAGAATATCTACTGTGTGGAATAAAATTATGTCAACAACGTAAAAGGGGAAACAAAAGAGGAAAACTCAGTGTTACGAGTTAAACTCTACTTTCCTGATCATTCAGTGCTAATAAATGTCATGTCCTATATTTTGAAGAGAGTACCGATCTCATTTTGAGTTTTGGCCAATATACTGGTGCCTACATCTAGTTTACATTATTCCCACTTATTGCAACATGTTATATACACAGCAGGATTTGATATCTCCCCATTGCACAGCACACAGACACAACAGGCTACATTCAGACTGCAGCTATAGTCTAAGGGGAACATATTAAGGTGAGTTTCTTGCAAACGGAGCACTGTACTGTGAGCAGCCTAGCAAATTAAACATTATTACAAATAAATTCCCATTTAGGGAATAGATCAAAATTAAGCATTAAAGTTGTTGTATGAATGTATCCAAAAGGACTGCTACAACAACAATCTTGGTATCGATATTTAAATGGTTCATCATTTTGTGAAATATGCTTCTCCTCTTTTTGCCAAGAGTTAGATGAAAAATCCAATAGATTGAGCCAGAGATAGTTATCTTAGGTTAGCTTAGCGTAAAAACTTGAAACAGGGAGAAACAGCTAGCCTGGCTCTGTCCATACATAAAAAAACCACCTACTACCTCTTCCAAAGCTTACTACTTAACACATTATATCTAATTTGTTTTTTCCCGCGTGTTTGTGGGTTTATGCTGTGTGCTAGACTGCTGGTCACGTGCTGTGACTTCTTGGCCTCTTCTTGCCTGGTTGTCCTTGCGCCCAGCCAAGATACACTTACTTACTCTTCAGTGTTTGTACATTAAACAAACAAGATATAGCATGTGAATGAAAGAGACCTTTATTTACAGGTGCTGGTGGGCAAATTTGTTTATTTTTGAACAGAGCTAGCAAGCTGTTTCTCCCCCGTTCCAGTTTTTTTATGCAAAGCTACAGTTAAGCTAACCGTCTGGCTCCAGCTTAATTGTTAGCATACAGATATGCGGGTGGTTTCAATCTAGCTCTTGGCAAGAAAGCAAATAAGCATATTTCCCCTCTTCTTTTAACTTTTCTTGCAAAAACGTTGTGTTTTTAATGTTTAAAACCCAGGAAGGGCAGCTAAAATCAATGTGACATTTTCTTAGAGTGGCAGGAAAAAGACAACTTTCCACAGCAACCACAAGCAACATTTCTGATTGAACTTACCAAGCATCTGCATTTCAAAAGATACAGGAAAATGCAAGCAAGGCCCAATAAGGCTAAGACTTTATACTGAGCGCTTATCTACAAACAAACCCATTTCAGTGCGAAACGCACACACACACACACACACACACACACACACACACACACACACAAATGAATGATTGTAGCAATAGTGCAAGCATCAGGCATGAGTCAGCGCTCTGGACATTAGTTGAGCTAGTGCAGTCGATGTATGGTGCGCCAGTGGTAGTACTAACGCTGGACTAAGTGAGAAGTATAGTGAGTGTATGGTGGGGAGGAGGGAGGGAGGGTGAAAGAGGTGAACTGTGTTACGAGCCATTCTCTATGGAGAAGCCATTCACTGCTGTGTGGGAGGGAAAGCTAGTGTTTTTTTCTATCAGGGTTAGGGGACAACTGCTTTCAATGACATCCATTTAAGAGAGAGATCAACTAAAACCCAAATGCAACACCTACAGAAGAGAAAATATGTTTGTGACGATCTTAGTTCACCTCCTCAATGAATGCATTTTCAGGATATTGACCCCTAGTCCAGAGTCTACAGTGCAAGGTGATTTGAGGCCAAACCTGGTAGCAATGTGATGAACTACAGGGGGATGCTACTACAGTAGATGTCTGAAGTGACTGTCTTTGTGGGACAGTGGGTAGTGATCGCTCCAGCACCAATGATAACAGCCAGCAAGTCAGCCCTGTCTCTCAACGCCCCCACCCCCATACTGTGCAGGCGACAGTGAAGGAGGAGGAGAGAGGAGAAAGAGGAGAAAGAATCAGAGTGAGAAGTCAGTATGGGGTGTGAGTGGATGGCAAGGAAGGAGAAGGAGATGAAAATGGTGGAAGCATGGGAAGGAAGGTGGAGTGGGAGGACAGGGAGGAGGATGAGCAGGAGGGAGATAAAAGCAAGAAAAAAATTGAGTAATAGAAAAAAGGAGGACTAGAAAGAACAAAGAACAAGTGGAAAACAGTAGGAAGGATTGAATGGCATAATGAGGGTGGAAATAAGGTTTTTAAAAAGTATCAAGGGGAGTGGAGGAAATAGGCATGTATGGATGAGAGAAAAGCAAGAAAGGAAGATAAGCATAAGGGAGAAAAAAATAAAAGAGACAAAAGAAAAGGTGAAAAAAATAAATGGAAGAAAACACTTAGGTAACGATAATGAAACTCAAGAAATAGTTCAACATTTTGGGAAATGCGGATATGCGTTTTCAAGAGTGAGTTAGATGAGAAGATTGATTCCAATCTCATGAGGTGCATTGAGGTGCCTACGCAGAGCCAAATGGATACTAAAGGACTGGTAAGCAGACGTTTGAAGATTTTCCCCGTTTTCAGTCTTCATGCTAAGCTAAGCTAAGAGCTGCAGCTCCCCATATTTAGCATTCAGACACAGCAGTGGTATGGACCTTCTCATCTAACTCTCAGCAAAAACGCTAATAAGTGTATTTCCCAAATATCAAACTATACCTTTAAGTGTTGGAAATTAGGCAGAGAGTGGGATTGCACCAAAACCACTTGGAGCATTAAACTTTGGGTTTCTGATTAATTTCTTCCATAAAACACTTTAAATGTATAGTGTCCAGATAACATGCTTCAACCTCTTTTCCAAAATAATTTAAAATGTTTCAGTGTGCGAAAGGGTAATATTTCTGACATGTTAAATATTGCTTTCTCAGTTTTGGTGCATCCCGATATGATTGGATGAGGTTAAACAATAAGAGGAGAAGAGGGGAACGAGAAGGAGAGAGAGAGAATGTGGGGGGAATGTGGGAGAGGAGTGCTAAAAGTCCAGCTAAATGCAGAGAAATAATGCAGTGGGAAGAGAGGGAATTTGTGGGTAAAGACCTGCTTCTTGGGAAAGGGACTGTCTCCTTCCAAGCTATCAACAAAGGCACTCTGTGGGAAAACAAGGAAGAGGGGCAATGAGAAACACCAGGGCAATTAGAGAGAGAGATCCTGTCTAGTCGAAGCTCTACTAAAAGCAACGGGCCAGGAATTCTCAAAGCCATCCCAGCACCAATATCATCTCTGGCACTTTTGGAAAACCTGACCCAGCGTAGAACTAGAGGGTGGGTTACAGAAGGAATTGTATAGGATAACTTTACTGCTCAACAATAAAAATACAAATAATGGAAACATTAGTCTTACGTAGCATTTGTGATGTTAGTATAGTTTGGTTATACTGTAGGGTTAAAAAGGTACCAAACACACTTTTCTCTTCTGTGTTGCTGAGATAGATAAAGACCTGGCACAACCCTGGGGCTATGTGAGAAACTGCACTGGTAGGTGTGTGTATCTACCCAACAGATGATTGTCTTTCAGATACAAACATGCAGTCTGACATTTGCACTTCCTTTTTTTGGCTACATGTAGTTTTCAATGAATGCATATTCAAATGTTGCCTTTATGTCCCTGTCTAATTATGTTAAAATTAAGTACGTATTCAAAGAGAAGCACTTGCATGTGAGCATTAAAATAGGGAGTCAAATAGAATGTGTGAGTGTAAGTAATACATATTTTTTATGTGTTTCTGTGACGGGAGGGGTCTGTACCCTGCGGCTGCGGCGGCCTCTCTTCTGCTGCTGCTGCTGCTCAATGAGCTCCATGGCAGAGGCCGGCGGCGAGGCTGCTCTCATGGCCCTGACCACCTTGATGCTGTCCTCCGGGAGCGGGGGCAGGTTTAGGCGCTCCCGGCCCCGCACCTTCATCTCCTGGAGCTCCTCGAAACCCCCTAAGGTGAACTGCAAGATAAGGATAGGAGACAGAAACACCGTGATTCACAGGTTTGTGTACAGTAAATTAAGGAGAGTCCGGAGGAGCAGGAAGATGTATTTTCATCAGCCAAAAATTAATTCTAGAAGCTTTGAAGACAGCCCATACGTGTTGTCTGTCAGTTTTGTAGGTACTAAGATTAAATAAACAATACTACTCATTATTACCCATCACAAGTAAGTTTTAACTCATTTTAATAGCATAGTGAAATTAATAGAAATCAACGGCTGCCTAAAATATGTGCAATTTCTGAATAAAAAAATGAAAAACTCTTGTTATGGCCCAAAAAGTAAATAGCAAACAGCTACTAACCTATACAGACAAACGGAGACGGAATAAATGCACAGAAATAGATTTGTGTCAGTGTTTGAATGGTTATAATGTACTAACAAGTATTGTCTTCCAGAGCAGCAGTAGTACTTTCTTCATGGGGAAGTGTGGGGCATTCATGCTGCAGAACTTGGTCACCATGGTGAACAGGAGCAGGGCAAAGGGCTCTCCGTTGTACAGAGGTGAGCCTGAAGAATTAAAAGATCAAACTCAGGGTTTTTGGATTGGATATATGGATATATAAAAGCAGCTTATGAGATATTAAATGATGGCCAGAAACCAGCGATTTATTTTGTTTGCATTATAGAAAAAACCTGATTGTGTGCAAACATTAGATCAAAGGAAAATACATTTAAAAAAGTATACTACCACTACAACCATACATAATTCAGCAAAGGTGCCTTGTATTTGTTCTACACACATACACACACACACACCTAGCTCATTCTTGAAGGCCTCTCTGGCTGCTCTCCACTCAGGTCTATCGTCCTCTGTTTGAACTCTAATAGTCTCCACCATCAGGTACATGATACTCAGTAGCACTCTGCAAGGAACAGAAATACACAGGACTCAACTTGACTATATGTGAGGGTGTGTGTGTGTGTGTGTGTGTGTGTGTGGCAGGTATTTAACTGGTGCCTTAAATAATAATAATGGGACTAAAAGGTCTCCAAGTACAAGAGACAATAATATGATGTAGGAAATGATATGCAACAATGAAAGGTAAGTGCAAGAAGTAGAGGAGGGTTTATTATGTGATCTGCTTGTGCATAGAAGTATGAGAGGAAATGATTTCTGTGCTCTGCCAGGATAATGCACCATGCATTCACAATTACCTGATGTAAGCCAAGTGGTGTTTTGTGCATTAAATGCTTTGTTCACTCAACAAAAGCCTCTCACTGTTTAAAATAACAATAATGGCTTTCAATTTTGTGGCAGTAATTAGGTGCAAATCTACTCTTCTAGCCTGTAATTATTTGCAAGTGTTCAACTGGAGCTCTGTGTATGTGTGAACATACAAGTGTGTACGTGTGTGTGCAGAGCCTGTTTTGTTCAAAAAAATCAATTCCATTAAGCAGAAGCAGAATATGGAAATGAATGTGAAGGACATTTTGTAGCTTAGGTGTGTGTGTGGGTGTGTTTGCGTAAATATATGTGCTTGTGGATTGAAACACTGAGGCGAATTGAAAAATGTTGTGAAAAAGAGCAAGACAGAAACCTTATATAGAAGAATTGGAAAATATTTTCAGACATGACTTATTCATTCTCATGTGAGGAGAGAAGAATGTGGAGCAGGCTGTGCTTACCTGAGCTCTGTGCTGTCTGCAAGAGAGATGGCAGGCTTCCTCACTGCACTGCTGCACGCCTGGTTGTTACTGCAGACAAAACCACAAGTAAATAAGCCCTTCATTTTAGTGGCTTATTTGAAAAAGAAACAACCGGCTGTGCATATGTACATACATTCAACTATAACAGCTGAGAATACATAAATATCTCAAGACCAAAATACAGATGGCAACATACACAACCAAATCCTCCTTCTTAATGTTGTGTGTTTTTCAGGCTTTTCGTATAACCAGCCGTGACCTGCAAAACACCATGTGTGCGTTTGCCTGATTGGCTTGCTAACACTGCTTTGCTGTGCAGCATGGTGATAAGCCAGACTGTGCCATGATACCTCAGAGCAGCTTATGTAACAACAAAGATGAGCTGGATCCCAACCGAGGGTGACACCAGCAGCAACAAAGCTGACTTGAAGGCGCCGCTGCTGCACCGTGTCCTCATCGGAGGGTTTGAAGTGCACATCACAGACAGTGTGTTTCCTGTATTCCTGCATTTCAGTCTCTCTCTCTTTCTCTGTCTCTCTCTCTCAATGTCTTTTTATCCCCACAAACCACCTCTCACTCGAGTGAGGGCCTCTTACCGTACAGAGCAGATGGGAGGGAGAAAGTGGACATGCTGAGAGACCAGAGCTTCAAACATAGGAAGACTTGGAGATAATTTTGATCTTGTATGCAAACAAGAAACACTGAAACACTGGCTTGAACCTATGACGTTTCAGTAACATGACAACCATCAGCCCACTCTGCTGCCTATGAAGTGTAAAAATATAAAAATTTCCTTTATCTGAGAAGCATCATAGCACTTTTACCTATATTACAGCCCCCTACCCTCTTTCGTTGCCACAGGCCCTTGCCCAAGGCGAAAACAAATTTGAAAAAAAAACCAAATTCACATGAAGAACTATTTTGCACCTCTCTGAGGGGTTGACTGCACTATTTGTCTGGCTTTGCATGCCCTTCGTGTCCCCTCCTTTAATCTTGAATTGTAAATACAAGTCTTATCAAGCAAATCCAACGTGAAAGGGACCTGTAGATTTAATGATTGTATCAAAGAAGAGGTTGTTTTGATTTTCTCACAACTTTGATTTTATTTTAGGACAGATTTTTATCTGTTGTAAAGATTTTAATGGCTCATACATCCCCAGCATATTCGGTGTGTTCTACTCACTCTATCTCCATGCTAAGCAGCTCCAGCAGTGCCGTGAAGATGCCCATGTCGTAGAGCAGGAAGACGTTATGTCTGGACCAGTGGAGCACATCCACCTCCGTGTCACACTCATCAAACACTCCTAGGGGAAAAGGTGTGGGGAAAATGAGTATACATTTCATTGTGTGCTATTTTAAATGTTTCAATTTGTTGGCACTTGACTTGGCGTTTCTCAGGGGAATGACAAACTAAATGCTTTTAAATAATCTACCTTATATTCTCTGTCACAGAATAGGTGTTTGACATTATATAGTATACATTCCAGTATATATGAAATGTGTGTTATTAATTGCACTAGTCTACATTAATTAATATAATTTTACATAAATGCAGGTGGAAATAATAAAATTAATGATGGCTGAATTCCATTTAGTTCTGGTAATGTGCCTGCAGGCTTACTGTCACAATGTCATGGCATACACGCTGCAACTGCACGGCGCCATTGTTACTTATATTAGAAACACCTGTGCTTTTCCTACTATAACAAGACAAAATGTCTGCTGTGAAGAAGGCCTATTGCTGGTTGTAATGTACTGGCCTTACGCACCCTGAGCCAGGTAGAGGATGGCCCTGGCCACCTTCAGCCTCCTGTCTCTGTCAGTCACCTCCAGCGCATCCAGCAGCCTCATCACATATGCCCTCTGCTCCTCCACCGTCAACTCGATCCACCTCCTGCCTCGAGCTGCAGAAAGGACACGACAACACAGTGTGCAAGGTTATTTTCAGGACAACTTTCTTCAATATCCTTTTCCACTGCCTTAAGACAGTTCAATGCAGGCAACTAGAATATATGTCCACATTTTTTCCTTAAAATGTGACAGTGGGGAGACAGACATGAAACATGAGGATTAAGAGACAAGGCTCAATTCCCTGGTCAGAGTGGTGATGGTTTGTGTCTTAAAGTGACTCAACAGCAGCAGTTATGGGGATAATGCTAAATACTAAACTTCTGTTTAGCTGTGGCTAATTTCTAAGCAGATGTTTGCCATTTAGCTAAAACGCTAAGCCACTAACAGTAGCACAAGTGGAGAATTATAAAGACTTTGGAGCCTGCAAAGTAAGCGAACTGTCTCAGTAATGTCCAGCAATAAAGTAAAATGGTGGCCAACAGCCACCATAAGCTGGTCATACCAGACCAAGTAAGGCTATAACAACAAAACCCCTGAGTGAATTCAATTGAGCGATGGTGCATCTTATTGCTTGTGAATTCAGCTTTTCATTTGGAAAAAAGTGCTATTACTTAACTTACTCTCAAATTTTTGCTACATAAGTTAGTCCTGCTTGACCACTTGCCCACCAGTAACTTACAGTCACTTTCATTATCGTCACTTTTTAAAATTTTTAGTTGTGTATGATGAAGTTGATAGCAAGAATAACGTTACAGTACAATTTTGTACTTTAGGGCTAACGTTAGTTTGACCACCTGTAGATTTTCTTTTTTTTATCAATTACACTCGTTAGCTTACTGTACTTATCATACTGTTAGCTTAATGTAGTTATCATACCGTAAGCTTAATGTAGTTATTACACTCATTAGCGTAATGTATCATAATGTTACTTATTAGCTTAATGTAGTTATAATATTCATTAGCTCAATATAGTTATTATACCGTAAGCTTAATGTAGTTATAATATTCATTAGCTTAATGTAGTTATACCGTTAGCTTAATATAGTTATCATTATCTTTTCTATCAGACACTGTACTCATTATCATCTTGTTTTAATACATTATTTACGCCTGGAAAGAAAGTTTATACAGTACATACACAAAAAAGCAAGATTAAAACCCTCTCCTGCATGAATTATTAAAACATTATGTAGATTTTTTTAAAGAATATTATTTAACTGTCACCTTATGTGGACATCATGTAACAAAGGAGTAAAATGCCACCCCTGACAATATGGATTATTATGTTTTTTATGTCATGTTATGCTATGTATTTATACTCAATAGTTGAAAATAAACAATAAAAAAACATATACCCTCTGCTCCTCCACCGTGGTATTGAAAACTGTAGTTAGATGTATGTGCAAACCCAGTAGCATATTGTGATCCTCATCTAAAATCATCTCAGTTTTAATATATCAACATCCAACATGTAACAGATTACATAATTGTAGTTAAAACTGATTTTGTTACAGTATATGAGTATAAAACTTATTCTTATTTCATGTTAAGGCTGCAAACCTTTCAAAAGTTGCAATTTAATGCTGTAATATGCATGTTTGCATTGTTATTAATGTTCATATATTTGTTAAATGTACATTTTATTATAATATAATTTATCACATCTTTGAAAAAATTTGAATAGATAAGCTAGCTGGTTACAGAAATCAAACTTAATGCAATCTGACTCCACTGTTGCATGACGTCCACATACGTGGACAGTTACTCTAAATTTTAATTTATAAAACATAAACCTGTTAATAATACTTTACTGTACATACTACTATTGTTTTTATCTTGACTGCCCTCCTTGAATAAATGTTTTTCACAGATATGCCTGAGGCATTAAGCACATGGCCATCTTGGATTGATGAGGTCATCAAGTAATAAATGTTTGGAAAATGAGAGAGTAACCACTGTTACAATGTTGCTATCAATCAACTGACAACTGTCCTCAAATCACTTGGAGAACATAACCATGATATAGGAACCCAAAATGGAGTTAAAATAACTGTTCACAAATGCCGCCACACTGCAAAGAAAGTTCATACAGTAGTTACACAAAAGCAAGATTATAAACACTAATAAAGTAAATTAAAGTAGATTTTAAACTACTACAAAAATATACAGCATTAAAAAAATGCATGCTTTCTCTGTCAAGGATTCAAGCCTATTTTTTTCACTATTTTTTTCTTAGACTCTTCATTTGATTGCGCAGACAGTAATAAGCATTAAGCAGCATACTGTCTACTCAAGTCAAGAAAACAAAAATGCTTTCTTTTTTCAGAACTGTCCCCCAAAAAAGAGCTTAAATTAGACAGGTCGTGATAATCACAGTGATTTACGCAAGTGACTGATTGGGAATTTATGGGTAGTGGTGAAAAGCATTGATGAGCACACACACACAAAGAACAGAAGTCAAAAAGGAAAACCATCCACTGACAACTAACATACAGTGCTCACTGAACACACACTAATGAAAAGACATTGATGCAAAGAGGCAGCTCTGTGCTCTATCTATGTAGAACAGAGAAGCTTTCATCTAATCCTGCTATTCATTACCACTCAGCTTGGAGAGGACGTGACAGATAAAGAGGACAAATGAGGACAAAGCTTGCCTCGTTCTTCTTCTAGACCAAATGGCAAAGATGTTCTTTTGTCTACAATGTGTGCCGCAGCGAGGTGAGACCTTTATGGCCTGTTGCTTATTCTCAGAGTTACCTTTGCAGTATGTTAGACAATATCATCACCCCAAACACCTGCCTCCATTGCAGACAAATGCACTAAATAGTGGATGAATAAAATATTCTCTTTTTTGGAATATTTTTCTTAGAATCAGCAAATATTCATGAAAGCATGAAAAAATATATATAATTTCTTAACAAGACAAAACTTCTAAATATCAGGTAAAGAAACATTGTATTTAAACATAATGTATTTTAGGACTGACAAAAACTCATGAAAAAGCTGCTTTGTTCTTAGTAATTAAATGTTAATCACATGGTTAGGGTGGACTCATCTGCATCTGTGGGGACAACCATTCTTTGAACAGTTTAAAAGAGCAGGGCTTTGCTGTGGCCTGGTCACCCTCGCCTCACACAGGTCGGCTTAAAAAAAAGCAGCACACTGAAGGGCAACACTGGCTTGTGTTGCACTTCAGTGGTGAGCAAAGTGAGCTGAACTGACTTCATACATCCCTTTTACTGCTTTTTTTGGTGGAAGAAAACATGATAGAAATGTATGTTGAAGTCTAAATCCATTCTCGCACGTCTCACCACTAGTGTGTGTGTGTGGTGCGTTGTCTCGGCAGTGGGTGCACTGAAATCTGATGAACTTTGACTCGATTTGTGCTAACCTTTGTGGGCGCAGTCAGTCACTGTTGACAAAGGCTAAATGATTTTGAAAAAATATCTAATTGCGATTATATTGCAATATGCAAAATTTGCAATATTAGAAGGAATGATAGTTTTTATCATTACTCTCATTTTCATGAAAAACATATTAAAATGATTATGGTGTGATTTTTGAGGGGCTTGTTACCAAACAGAGATGTATATTTAATTTTAAATGGTATTTTACATACTTTTCACCTTTAACAAATATTGTGCCTCCTGCTATTTGAAAACTGCAGTTTAACCCAAATGTTGGCCACTGTCTGAATATAAATGGACAAAAACAATATTTCTCGCCTTTCTAATTTTCCATTTCCACTGTACAATAACAAACTGGCCTCATACGGAGACCAGACAAAAAAGATATTTGCCTGGCAAAATATCCGCATTCAGCTGCGGCTACCAGGCTTGTTACAAAAACAGATTGAGGCTCTGAAATGTACTTGGTCTATGGCTAACATCAGCATTGTAGCTAAGGTGGTGCCGTTAAGTAACATTACGGCTTTAATATATCTATTTATTCATTTTACTTGCAATTTTTGTTTAGTTAACCTTCATGATCTTACTAATGGACACTGTTATCAAGCACTGAACTGGAGCCAACATGCAGAGCTACACAGAAGGACTCAGTAAGTCAACAGCAGTCACACTGTTGGAGGAGCCATCAAGGTCTCTGTGATAAACAGCAATAAAAGGCTGTCCTCCAGTGTACTGGCTGCAAAGCAGGGTCTCGTAGAGTGGGAGTATTTTTGACCCCATTTTTTGTCAAACACACTGTAGACAGCACAGTTTGTACTCTCTCCTGTGAGCCACTGACAGGGAGTTAAACGCTACACCTGGTATCCTACAGGTAATCTAACACATCAAGGGAAGCGAAAAAAGGTTCTACAACCATTTAACAGACCACACACACACACACACACACACTCACACACACACACACACACACAGTACCATGGCTCCTGAAGTCCTCCTCAAAGTATTCTCTGTTCATGGCAAACTCTGGCTCCTCTGTGTAACTGTAGAGCTCTGTGAACAGAAAACAATACAATGGAATTAGCACTGAAACAATTAGCAAAAATATTAATCAGCAATTATTTTGCTAATCTAAGTCATTGTTCAAGCAAAAACTTTAATTGCTTACTAGTAGCAGCTTCTCCGATAGGAGGATTTGCTGCTATTCTTAGTATTTTTCACAATGTTCTGACGTTTTATAGAAAAACACGAAAAAAAAATTCAATAAGAAAAGAATGGTTTGTTGCAGCATTTAATAAAATAGAACAGTTCGAATAGAAAAGAAACAGGAGGCAGGTAAACTCCGCTACCCTACAAAAACCAAACAGACCAACTTAAAAAGTTTCTGCCTCCTCAGTGGTGATCTCATTTGTTCCATGCACAGTCTCACTATTTGTCATGTTGCCATGCATCCTGTTCTGGAAGCAGTCGTCATTCCTTGACCCCGAGGTGCTGTCGCTAAAAAGCCTTTCTGACGGTCTGTGTGTTTGCCAATGTGACAAACACTTCTGGCAGATCAGCTGCCGTTTGCCATCTACCAGGTCGACAGTCATTTTGACTATAAATCAATGCTTTTATTCAATGTTTCTCTCTTCCCATCACCTGGCTTGGAGAAAAAAAAGTTGGTGCTGGAGAGGAGAGGATTCTAAATTACACACTTTAAATAGACTATTGTACTAAAGTTCAGTGAGAAACATCTATCAGCACTGTTTTTCTGTCAATTATGCATCTTTTGCCATCTATAAACCAAGCTCAAAGTCACACAGGAGCTGTTACAAGATACACATATGCTGGAACAATAGTGCTTATGAGTCATACACTGTGTCCTGTGTCTGGAAAACATGTCAGAACCAGAAGATTTTGTTCTTTGCCTTCAGTAGTGTGTCAGCGTATTGTCTTGTTTTTATGAATATCACTGTAACATAAAACAGCTGAAGAAAACCTGGAGGAATGCACATGCAGAATTTTTTTTCAAAAAAGTAGCACATTGTAGTCTGTATGCTAAGTAGAAACAGAGGTATTGGAATTCTGTGGGTGAAATCGTGTGTGTCACATAAGAACAATTCTTAATTTTAGCTGCAAGTCTGACTCAGTTTGACAGGAATGGAGAATTGGATAAAAGCTACCGAAAGTGCAGACAGATTCACGCAAGTAACCTGGCCAGACGTGTGCACAAAGGTACGTGACAAGCCAGATTTACAAATGACCGTTTGTGCTAAAACAAGACTGAGAGTTTGCAACCACGCTAGTTGTGAGCACAGTGGTCCATTGAGCTACATGCTAATGTCAGCATCCTAACATGCCCACAAAAACGATGCCATGTTGAACATGTTGATGCTAAACTGGTCAATGTTATAGTTTATTTTAGCTTAACACGCTAACATTTGCTAGCCTGATGGGCATTCCTATTAGTGTTGCAGATAAAATATTGGATAAAATTTTGACCTGATGGTGGCGCTAGAGGAAAAGTCAGAGGATCATCAGATTCTGCAGGATTCATCTTCTGGGAATAATAAATGTCTGCACAAAATGTTATGCCAATCCATCCAATAGTTGTTGGGCCAAAGTAGTTGACCAACCAACAGATCTTTACCATAACAAGAGCCATGCTGCTAGTATGGCTAAAAATGACCATCACGGAAAATCCAGATTTTAGAAAACAATATGTAGCAGACATGGTAGCAGAATCACAAAAACATATCCACATAAATGTATTTAACTAGATCAATTTAACCAATTTTTGGTGCATCATTTGCATTTAGTAAAATAACATGTCATTCTTACAAAGTATATTACAAGTATAATGAACACAGCTACCGTATGACACACGGGGTGCAAACTTTTGTTGCAATTATCAGGGACGTAAAGGTTCATTTTCTAAACATTTCTAGGAAAGTACTGGCGTTCTTGTGAGTTTAGAAGCTGGTTAGTCTTACCTGAAAGCTCAGCCATTAGAGTGTCTGTGTCTCCGTACTCAAACTCCAGGTTGGGAGACTCCATGGAGCTCTGTGAGGAGCAAAACACACGTACACACTATAGTATGACACTGATCCCAGCTAATCACAAATTTCCTGACACCAAAATGCAAACAGATACTCAGACATACTGTAGGCTATTCACATTTTGCAACACCTACCACTACTCTGTACTCCATTTGTGGTCAAGCACACTTTACCGCCACACATTACTCGCACACACATATTCACTCTCTTCATGCTCGTTCACAGTTTTTCCTCATCATGTGCATTTTCGAGTTTTGATTGGCTGCTGAATCTCCAGGCAGCAATGATTAGTGATTTACATTTTCTGGGATCCCATTATGCAGAGCCCTTCACAATTACAGATGTGAGAAACACACAGACAGTGCTTTAATCAGTCTGATTGAACAGTTAAAGGATGTTCTCCCTAACAAAGTAGCCCATGTAGATGCTGGGGTGGACCCATAAACTGCATGAGGAAGAGGTGAGGAAAGGGTGAACATGCTTCACAGCAGATTAACTGCGGTATCCAGCCGAGGGTCTCTCTTTGCTCTGACTTTAGCCTCACCCTGTGATTAGATTAGCACGTGCCCACGACACAGACACATTAAAGTTTCCATGAACACACTCATGCAATCGCACAAATTATTTTTCAAAGCTTTCAAAACTTTGTCCCAGCAAGCAATCCACATACACGCATGACCTAAGCAAGACATGCTCAAACAGAGGCTCAGATTCCCAATGCTGTGAAACTACATAGCTTTTTTTTTTAAAAAGGAAAGCACTGCACAATGAAGAGGCCTTAAGGTTAGAAAAAGGTCTTGATGATGGTATATATTTCTAGACAAATAGTCTGGGAAACATGAACCAGTTTCTGTTTACTGCTCAGCATAGTGGTAACAGGTTGATGTACGAAAATAACATACACTATCATGATATCCAGACATCTGTTTATGATTAACGCCTGGGACAAACATAAGCTTAATAGTAGTAAGAGAATTAGTCTGGAACATTTTTGTTTTTTTTATCTCTTTATCTTTTGGTTGGGGGGATGTGAACTGATGAAATTTCCCTACAGGGATGATTAAAGATTCATTTTAAGTTAATGAGAATAAAAAAGCCTCCTGGCAGCACTGGAAGTCTCTAAGCTACGAGTGTTAGATGTGTTTAACCCTGTGAAAAATGCCACAGGGCCAGGACTGTAAATAAGGATGTGCTCTGAGTCAGCTATCCTGGTTAAACAACTCTGCGTGCTGTCATGTAACCATGTCCTATAAATACCTGCTGCAACCCAGCCAGCATGAACTGCAATACACAGGACGTCAGTCGGCAGACTGTTTATAACAGAGAGCCACAGCAATGAGATTCGATATCATTACTGCACTTGTAAACCAGGAAATGAGAACCACTTGGGAGTGCAGATGATTCAACAAACCCACAACCAAAATTACAAAATTACCCATAACTCTTGAGTGAGAGTGAAGAATGCCTGTAGGTCTCTGTGACCAGAGGCTGCCTCACCTTCACTTTTACAATCTGCAACAAGTTTTGAAAATCATTATGTCCAACCTGAAATACATTGTTTGTTTTTATAACCCTAGAAATCCAGCGCTTGGAGAACATGGAAGTACAGTGTGGCTTTGCGGTTAAAAGTACCAGGATGTCACTTAAAAATCAAATCATGATCACTGCAGCCAACCAGTCCACATGATTTGCTGCTGAAAAGATCCACAAAGTTCCTCTCAGCATCAAGGTCTATTTGATTGATTTTGTCTTTGATGGCATGAACATAACTGCTCACTATTGATCCAGCTGCCAAGAGGACAATTAGGAACACCAGTCTCACTACTGGCTGTCATATAATTATCTGTTGAAAACATGAGTCCATTTAGAAGGTTCATTGTTTAAGTCATTCATGCGGTGAAAAGCTTGGTCACACCTTCAGAAAAACAAAGGGTTACTTGCATTTTGATCAGCGGAAAATAAAATGTTTGGGATCTTGTGGTCAAACTGTAAACTATTTTTAGTGAAACATTTGTCCATGCCATCTGCTCCTCTGTACAGAACTAATCCATGCTCAATACAAATTAAATTAAACACTGTAAAATGTCAAATCAATGCCAATTAATGAGTTTTAAAAACAAGCTCTATTAAAAAGGTTTTTTCACTTTTATCAAGTGAACTCTGCCACTGCACCTTCCTACGAGGAACAACCTCAGATATACAGCAACTATTACAGACTTGTTGTGGGGTATCATCTGTGATGCAGACGGCTATTTCAACACCAACATTCATCCACTGCTGTCACTGCACAATCCATTCCCATTCATCCTCCTGCTGTCTGATGATTCAGTCTGTTAAACGCTCAAGAGCTAAGACTAGTGAATATTTTCATTGTTGACTAATGTGTTGATTTTTAAAAAATATTCATTTATTATTTGTTCAGTCTATAAAATGGCTGTGAAACATGCCCATCACAATTTCCCAGAGCCCAAGGGGACATCTTCAAATTTCTTGCTTTGTCCAACCAACAGACCAAACGTAGACACATTGCAGACAGCTTTTATCCATTATACCATTCTTATGCTTTCATTTTCAACCAAATTTTTCAAAACACAGTATATTTCACATCAGTTATCTTAAAAAATATGGCTAACCCTCAAAGATTTTAATAAAAAAATTGACACGAACACATCCCCAATATAAGAAGAGGCAACTCATCTGACTTTACATAAAAATGCCTGAAGGAGACTTAAAATCTATGACAAAAAAGTCATTACACTACATTACGTCAGTACATTACAAACTGGGTATGTGGAATATAATTTATAATTTAACATTTACCAGGCTGGGAGGGTCTTAAGAAAAGACCTTACTAGAGACTAAAAGATATGATGGCGCAGCTGAATTGCTGGAGAAAAAATTCAGAATTCCTCTCACGGAATGACCTCCTAGATCCATATCAGTCTGGTTTTAAGTAGCCCAATCCTCAGTTCTTATCCTGCTTGACCTATCAGCTGCCTTTGACACAGTCAATCAAAGGATCCTGCTATCCGCACTCTCAGCAATGGGCACCTCGGGCAAAGCACTCCTGCGGTTCGAATCCTACCTCTCGGGGCCTTCCTACAATTGTTTTGTGGCAAGGACAATTATCTTCCTACCACTGCCTCTCCACAGGGGTGGCCCAAGACTCGGTGCTAGGGTCCCTTCTCTTCTCAATTTACACCACCTCACATGGCTTCTCTTATCACTGCTACGCAGACGATACGCAGCTTTACCTCTCCTTCCCGCCAGACGACCCCACCGTCTTGGCACGGATCATGGACTGTCTCTTGGACATATCTGCATGGATGAAGGCTTGCCACCTTCAACTAAACCTCTCTAAGACTGAACTCTTAGTCATTCCAGCCAAGCAATCTATCCAACATAACATCAAATTATAAATTGACTCCTCAACCATCACTCCAACCAGGGTGGTGAGAAACTTGGGCGACATCATTGATGAACAGCTGTCCTTTACACACCATGTTGCTGCTGTCTCTTGGTTGTGCCACTTTCCTCTATACAACGTTAGAAAGATCAGGCCTTACCTTACTCAGTACGGCACCCAGCTTCTGGTTCAGGCCATGATTATCTCCCTCTTTGACTACTGCAATGCCCTCATAGTAGGTCTTTCAGCTTGTGCAGTGAAACCCCTTCAAATGGTTCAGAACGCAGCAGCGCATCTGGTTTTTGATCAGCCCAAAAGGACTCATGTCACTCCATTACTCAGTGACCTCCACAGGGTACCCATGGCCTCCCGAATCAAAATCAAGTCACTAATGCTTGCATACAGAGTGACTACTGGTCCTGCACCCATCTACCTAAACTCCATAATACAAGCTTACATTCCTTCTCGGCCACTGCGCTCCTCCAACGAACGCCGCCTGGCTCTGCCATCTCTACACACAAAGCAATCTCAGTCCCGGCTGTTCTCATCTGTGACGACTTAATGATGGAATGAGCTACGACATGCCATCAGAGCAGGGGCGTCCCTCTGTAACTTCAAGAGGCTCTTGAAAACTCATCTCTTCCGAGAACACTTTTTCACCTCTAACTCTTAACCTCTAACATCTCTTCTTCTATCCCCTAACAATTATCTTGTATTGACTGCACTTTTTTGTAAACTCTTACTTCTTTCCCTAGGTATTTAGTCCATTGATGCGATACGTGTTATTAGCTCTTACTACCCAGCAAGCAATAGCCGTCATTTCACCGTCTAGGTTTATTATAGACCTGATTTAGTCCGAGTAACCCACTTCTAGCCGCAATAACTTTACATGTGGTTACATGACGTTTTTGCCAAAATAACTTGCAATGTGTATGATATTCCATCATTTAAGCAAGGTCTACAGTGATTACAAAGTTTTTTGTTTCATTTCTTACACATGATTTACGTGCAGCCTGTGCGTAGACACGATTTAGCTCGTAGACAGACCGGCTATTTGTAGACCACTTTTAGTCAAAAAAGTCAAAAATGATTAATAGTGGGGTTTTGCCCTGGTGAGATGGTTGATATCCCATTATTTTTGCAATGTCAATAATATCAACAAGATATTAAGTGTCATTAAATTAACATGGTCTATCTGTAGCCACGATTTATCTCTTATTTGAATAGGCTACGTGTAGTCTGTTTTTAGCCTACCCAGCGAAATACAGGCAATTAGTGGTCTAATATCAACAGCTTGGCTGTAGCCCTGTTTCAGACCAAATAGGTTACCTGTAGTTTTCACCCATGTAGCTGTTGAAGGGCGTGATATCATATCATCAAATGCAAGTAAACGTTTAAAACATTTAAATTATCTTTATTTTCGCTGTAACGTTTACTGCATTCATTTTAGTTTAAAACAAAATTACTTATTATTATTATTTAAAACAATTACTATTTTCAACTGCTAGATGGCGGGACGGCCAGATCTCGCGATCATTTTTAAACGAGGGATACGTTACGATGTTGGCCTTTCAGCGAGCAACGGGCAAGAGTTTACTGCAAACACTGGAAGCGAAAATACATTTACTTTGGTCTTCTAAGTATATGGGGGTCTTTGTTTGACATGTCTTCATTATTTATCTAAATTATTTGTTAACGTGTAGGAACCGTGACATTTCAGCGGGTAACAATGTAGAGTAAGGCACGTTGTGGTTAGCTTAACATGCTGCATGCAAGTGTATTTGGTTGTTCTAATGCAACATGGCTAAAACATGTGTCCTGTTCAAGTATCTTTATATTTGCCATAGAGATAAATGGGTCAGTAATAAATACTTTTAAATTAAAAAGAAAAATAATGATTGATGATGATTTTTTTAACCTTCATTAGAATGATAATTAGAAATGTACTGTATGTTTTCATTTAAAATCATTTGATGATAGTAGTCATGTCTTACAGGAAAACAGTGAACAAAGTCAAATTATAATGTTTACTTATATTCATATTCTTACATTTTCAACAGTTATGGATCCCATTTACCCGAGAGACTGGCGCCGACCGAGAGACCCATGTGATGCTCTTCCTGCATCAAGTAGCAGTTTATATGAAGATCTAGATTTGGATGTAGCCAACCAATTTATTTTATCATTTATGTTTTTATTACCGCATGTTGTTAAAATTGTTTGTATTTTCATTATATATATATATATATATATATATATATATATATATATATATATATATATATATATATATATATATATATATATATATATGTACTGTTTTGTATTTATAATATTTTAGCAATAATTCCTTTATATTTTCATCATGTTGTATTATCTTAAGTTGTCTACATTGTAATCTTTTTTCTTAATAAAATCTTTATATTTAATTTGTTTGGACGGATTACCATTCGTGAGAACCATTTGTGTTTTGTTTGAGTAAAAACAATCCTTTAGCCACAATTCTGTTGTCCATTAGAGGTAGATATGTAGCCATTTAAAAACTGTGTATTTGGTCTATTCTTGGGCTGTGGTTAGACATCTATTAACTTTTCACTGACAGCCCAAATTCAACCTTGTTTTAGCCTAGACCCATTTTCACCATCTAATACACGTCTATATGTATCCGTTCAATGGTGGTCTAATTGATGACTAGACTATTTTTGGTCTATGGTTAGACGTCTACCAAACTTTCACTGACAGCCCAAATTCAGCCCTGTTTTAGCCTAGACGTCTGGGCTCTGTTTAGACGTCTATTAAAAGTCTTTTAAATGTGAAATTGCTTGCTGGGTAGTATTTATTCCTGCTCTTACTAGTATGTATTGTCAGTTGTACATCTCGTGCTGAATTTGATGCTTTGTTGATGCTTGTAAGTTGTTCATCAAATGTAAGTCGGTTTGGATAAAAGCATCCGCCAAATTAGTAAATGTAATCACTTTTACATGAATTGATTAATCAAATAAGCAGCCTCATGCAACACCAAACTCGCGAAGAACCCACGATCACACTGAGATGCTTCTTTAATTCCCGTCAGCATCAACACTGGCTGTCTTTCTCTGTCTCTCTGCTTCTACTGCTCCATCTCTCCCTCCCTCTCTCAATTATATTTTCCCTGTTCCCTTCTCTGCCGCCAGCTGATACTGAAAGCCGCTCTCGCTCCAAAACTGGCACAATGTCCGTGCTCCCACACTCTGCACCACATCGGTGTGCAAACACTGGGCACAATGTCAAGGCAGGCCACCCCCATTTCTACCAACATATGCCACCTAGACAAGAGATGGCTGATCTACAAAGCACAGCACAAATGACTGACTATTCACATACATCAATGAATCAGATTTGAGGTTAACTATTATAAACACATGGGTCTGACATTGAGTGCTTTTAACATCCATAACATCATACCCCCCCCCCCCCCCCCCCCCCCCCCCCCCCCCCCACACACACACACACACACACAGACACACCCACCATCAGCAACCCCTCGTCCCAGAATCCAACGTCTGTGAGATGAATATGCTCTAATTCCCTCAAAACCATTCAATGTGCTCACACACACACACACACACACACACACCAGGGGTGTTATTAGCTGGATTTTGGCCTGGACGACAGCCTTGACTGCTTAACTTCTTTGGTATATCTCTTCTAATTTTTTCATTAGGGGATGAATTATAGCTGTATGGCACTAAAAAAAGAATCATCATTCGTCATCAGACTGAATACGAGCCTTGCTGCTTTTAATGTTTAGACAAGAAAGAGTAGACTGGTTAAACTGGATCTGTGGATAAGTCTCAGCCTCTATGACTGGATAAAAGGAAAGCAATCAATCTAGCTTTTTTTTTTTCTAATTTGATCGTTTAGTCCATAAAATGTCAGAAAGTAGTGAGAAATGGCCAAAATAAGTCCAAGGTGAAAAACTGTTTGTTTTGTCCGACACAATTAAACCAAAGATATTGAGTTTGCAATGATGAAAAAAAACTGCCATTAATAGTACGCCTAATACCTAATGTGAATCAGTCAGGTTGAGGCTCTAAATAAAATATGATGGCCATTTTTCAACTATTTTTGGTTATGTTATAGCCGGAACAATGGATTGATTGAGAAAACAGTTTGCAGCATAATCAATAATAAAAATAAGTGTTAGGTGCTGCCCTAAATTCCAGTTCAGACACTGCTTTTTTATGAACCAAATCATGCTCTTAAAAATTTAAGAGTAGGGCTACAACTACCACTCAACATATACATTTTTTTAAAGAATGAATGTAGGCCTACTATGTATGCTGTAAATATTTAAAATACTGACAAATGTCCATCACATGTTGCCAGAGGCCAAAGAAAATCCTAAATTGGTCACTTAAACACATTTAATGAATGAGATGGTAAGCCTTAACCTGCAAATGATTACTACTGACAGGTTACATGATGAATTACTTTAAAGATAGGCCTGAGTAGAAAGTGATATATGGAACTGGTATTATTTTAGCCAACAAATCAAGTACTGAAGGAGACAAGCCAAGTTCAACTCTGAGGGATAAGAATACTGTATGTGTATGAAATAACTGCCATAAGAGGATAACTATTAAATCAACATGAGCCTATATTCTGATATATTTGGTAGTGGTGGTGCGGTCCTGACAGCAGCAGTCACATTTCACCACCTGCCTTCCCCACGTTGAGCACCGCTGTAGGATTATTGCTGGGTTATTTATAGGAGCCGGTTGCCAAAATAACACCTCAGTGTCTGCCTGCCTGTCTGCATGCATTCATGCTTTCGAGCCAAAGACAGACACTCACCGCATGGAAAAGGACATTCAGCTTGTCTGAAAGCTCCCCAGCAACAACACACACACACCTCTAATACCATGCTGTAGTAGCCGACTGTACACAAACACCTCTCCCATTTACCTCCGACTCCTTCTGCTGATCCTTGAACACATCTTTCCCTTTCGCCCTCTGTCTGTCGCCGTTATCGTTAAGGTTATTAATGATAGGTACCTCCATGTCCTCCGCCTGCATCTTTCTCGGTCGGCTCACTTGCTCCTCCGCGGATAGTGCATACCGGTCCCGTGGTAGAGCTGAGACTGCACCGCACCAGGAGGAGCACCGGCTCCAGAGCACAAGTTGAAGATCTCCTCCTCCTCCTGCTGCTGCTACTCGCCCCCCCCCCCAAGTCTGTTTGGTTCGCTGTCCCTGAGCGCCCCGAGAAGGCGGGGTTAGAGAGTGATCATGACAGTAGACAGGAGCATCAGCTGACCACATGAAAGTAAAACGATGTGGTTACAGGGTCGGTGTACTATGCAGAGGACTGATTATTAAAGATGCTAAAGGACGAATACAACCCAGGGTTAAATAAGTAACTCTGAAGATGTCAGCTTGGAGATATGAGGATTTGGCCCGACAGTATTCACCAAAGATGAAACGTAAAAATTTTACATAAGCAACACACAAACATTTTGAATTCCTGATATTTATTTGAGGTGCAGTGAAGGCCTGTAAGTTACTGTTAATGGATGGAAATGTAGCCAATTAACACTGGGTTGCATACATGCATCCTTTCCTGTGAATCTCTTCTGTGTGAAGGTAATTTGAATGGCGGGCTCTAGCCACTAGCATTGAAAACTGCAGAATGTTAATTTCTTACTTTGGGATTGAAAATAACTATAAAAAAATACCACTACTTGCTCCTCAGTCCAGTCAGCGTGTGAAAACCAAAACTCTCCCCACCACCACATTCAAATATAAACCAGACCAGAAATGATTTTAGTCTGCTGGCTGGTTGTGTTCTTCACTGGTATAATTTTAGGTGGACTCAATATGGCTGCTGAGTATCAAATTTAAAGAACTATTTGTATGTCAATTTTGCAACAAACTAACTTCCCTGTCTGGCACCAATACAATTGATGAAATTGAAATGGAAGTACAGAAATTAAAATGAAAACCCATCAACTGTTTAGAAATGGTGTATGATGTTTGCTGGCCATACTGACAAATATAAGTTGTATGGTTGATTATTAATCATTTTCACAGAACTTACATAAAAGCTAGCCCTAAAATGAGTTTGTTTCTGCATCAGCTTTTTTGTCTGTTTAAATGTATGAGCTAATTTAATAGTTGTATCATATGTTTAATTTGAATGGGATTAAAGAACCTCTGAGGTTTATGGGTCTTGTTTTTTATCCATTAAAATTACATTTATCTGTTGCCTTAGTAATTTAAGTTTGTAATACAATACAAATAAATTTGTTTCGTATTACAAACTTACTTGTATTTTTAAGCAGCAAAATTGGAAACAGGTAGGGAAAAGTGGGTAAATTAGCTTTAGCTTTCACACAGCTAGCCTTAACTAGCTGGAGTGTAGTTTTTACCTCCGTTTTGTAGCTCTTGCAAATTGTAGGCCTACATGCTGTTTTCTCCAAGGAAATGGCTCTTTTGCATGACACACTAGTTATGCTAAAATGGACACAAAATTAATATTGACCAAATATGTGGTTACTGCGTTTTGGCTTTGTAGAGCAACATCGTTGGGTATCTGCTGTAGATGCTGGTAGAAATATACCAACCACCAAAATTTACCAGATTTGATGGATGATGCTTCCCACCAGTTGTGTCAAACCAAATTAACTTAAAACAAGATTTTCTCTGTGGTAATAAAATGTCTGGTAACACACAATCTGCTGTCAGGGGTCCCCCCCTGCAGCCACTTCACCTCCTTTCACCCTCCCTTTAGAGGGGCAAGTGAATTATTGATATGTGGAGTTGGGGGTTGGTGTGTATTCTGCCAAATACTCCTACCTACCAACACACACAAACCCCCTGACTGTGAACACCACTTAAGATGACATGATTGAATCATACAGTTGAACATAGGCATGAGCTTCTGGTGGAACATGGGTGGGGGGGCGGAACATGTTCTTGATTAAATTATTAATCACTGGTGGTTGAATCAATGTAGACTCAAGTCTATAAAAAACTACACATCCAATAAAACTGATAATTTACAAAGGCATCATTGATATGCTGTGGATGAATTGCAGCAGTGAAGAGGTTTTAAATTGGACACTGGCAGCTATGACTGAGGAACCCTTCAGAAAAAGCGTTCATCCCTAAATTAAGTGGTAAAAACATTCCTGCTCAGTAGATTCAAATTCTGGAACAGGTTTTGCATAAAACAGTACTAAAAAAAACAAACAGCATTTCGAGAGCATCTTGCTTCCTCATTGTGATGTAATCCTGTTGATGTTTACTTCCAAGCTGAAATAATTATAGTTTGGATTGTGAATGACATCTTGTTCTATGTGTGTCAAACTACTCATTTAATCCTGTGATGCCAATTTGTCAAGAAAAAAAGACAGCTGAACTCTGTCAGAGATGTCCCTGTCTGATCGCTGCAAGCTCAGATGAGATCACTGTTGTTCTGACAGACCTCGGCAGCTGCACACATGGGTTCCCCTTCCCCCCAAACATACACAAAGACAGCTACTCAGAAATCAATCCGCTATGAAAAAAGACTGAACGACACACATCAAACAACCAGATAAGAACAAAGTGGGTGATTACGTGCTGAAATGGCAGATTTGTAGAAATCAAGGAAATGCGCACAAAAAGGGTTAAAATTTTTACATCTTTATTCATTAAGGTTACATAATTTTTTTTTATTATTGCTTACCTACCATTATCACTTGCAATATTGAAACAGGGTTTTTTTCTTCATTAGACATGTTTGAGAATTTTGCCAGTTTGCTCTGTATGAGATTTACAACAATAAATACAGGAGTCGATTCTTCTTTTATCTTCCTATACTTTTAAAAGGTTGTCATATCTGTATATAGTATGTATATACATATACGATGCTGGTGTCGTCCCCTGCCCACCCATGTGTTGGTCAGCTTATGGCTGACAAAACAAACAAAAAGGTTCCTTCCCCCCCTAACACACAGGCTAGGATCCTGAGGCAGCTGTTAATGAAGCAACCATGGCCTACAAAAAAACAAAAAGGATGTACAGAACCCAGAAAGACATTTAGACACACACAGCGTTCTCTCAAGATGTCACAAACTCTTTAACACAAACTCTCTTACAAAAGGGAAGAAAATAAGACCAGACAACAGGCTTTAAGAACTACACAGACGACAGATCACGCTAGTTTAAGAGGGGATTCTCAACAGCACAAGGAGACAGAAATGCACACAGGGAACAAGTCGACATTTATTTGGCATGGACTGTGACAGTGTAGGATCTTGTTATTGCATGGCTGCGTATGGGCGTACACTTGTTTAATCTGAGAGGTTCCTACACACCTTTAATTTTTTTAGACTTCAATTAGTTTTTGCCAAATTTTTCAGGAATAGCTTGACAATTTGGGGAATACCCTTACATTCGCTTTTTTGTCGAGTTGAGATGGAGAAGACGAATACCACTCCCTTGTCTGTACAGTAAATATGTAGCTAGGGCCAGCCACTGCTTAGCTTAGCTGACTGGGACCAGGGAGAAAGCCTAGCCCTCTCCAAAGGTAACAAAATCCACCTACAAGTACCTTTAAAGCCAACAAATTAACATGTTATGTCTATGTTTCATTTGTACAAAAAACTGCTTTAAAAGTGCTGGTGCTGCAAAACTTTACACTAACCGAAGCCAACTGGCTGCCGGCACCAGCAGCCAGTTGGCTTCGGTTAACATATTTATCATGTAGACACGAGAGTGGTACTCCTTGCAAGAACGCGAATAAGTGTATTTCCCAAAATGTCAAACTATTCCTTTAAAGACTTTGGTCGGCATTAAATATCATGTACAGTGGTGAGATCAGTCATAAAGTCACACAAAAACAGAACTGCATGAAATGTGGAAGCACATTTGTATTTATTCAACTGGTAAACAAAGCTTATTGTACTATTTCTTCCTGTTCAAAAGCTATAAAATGGTAATGTTTATTTTCCATATAATGTTCAGTAATTTTCACACCTGGATAATGAGCTGCTTACTGTACTTGTGTGTTTAAGCACCTCACCCCTCTCTGTGAGTAGAGCTGGCATCCTCACTCAGCATGTTAGTTTCTGATTGGATCAGGTGCAGAGCCGATATAACGGCAGGGGTGCACTTGCCAGGTGAAATGACTGTTAGGGCTTGCTAATTTCTACCGTCAGGTCTGCTGGGGACCAGCTGCCAAGGATGACAACTGTGCAGCTCATTATGCTGGTAGAATCTACACTTTTCAGGTGGGGAAGAAGAAACTAAAATATATCGGAGATAACATGCCAAGTATTGAGATAGTTTTGTTTGTTTTAAAAAAAAAAGGGGGGGGGGGGATCCATGAAATTGCAGAGGTGGTAAATGTGTTTTTTGGATGAAAAGAAAATAAATCATGGTGGAATTCAGATTCTAGATTGTATGTTTTTAAGAGATGAACCCTTTGACTGTATCAAAAGAGTTGTGGTGTGTATGGTCAGTACAGTAAATCTCAACAGCACCACGCTTTCTAGGACCTGTTTCAACATATCTGCTTAAGTACCGTCCTGCAGGAACTTGCTGCACATTTGGTATCCCTGTAAATATTTTCTGTCACAGTTTTCAAAATGATACATTTATTACACCTATCGTCAGAACATTTAATTGCTTATCTTTTTGACATGTTGATTTTCCCCCCCAGGGGCGCACAGGAAAGCAAAGATAGAAAAATCTTAATTTCAATATAAATATCTAAATATACAGTATACCCTTTGTAATGTTCGGACAACTTGCCATGTTTCTAATACAGTATAGTCATTCTTGGTAAAGGAAAAGACAAAATGAAAAGGTTAGCTCTCACTAGCTTGAAATACTTTTCATTACTTCAACACTGGCGTCTTGTGAGCAGCTGGAAGCTGAGAAAGAAGCAGCCAATGAGATGGTTTCACTGTGGCTTTGAGAGACAGGTGGGAAAAACTGGTCACCATCCAGTCATACTAAAAAAATGACAATTCAGAGCTGATTCAAAGAGACCGAATGCATAAAAAAAAAAAAAAGATTAAAAACAGACAACGGTGAATCTCATTGAAACGATCAAATAAAAGACATGATACGATTGGACCCTGAGATCCCGCCCCAACCCCCCTCCCACTAGGTCTAAACCTGCCCTCGCAATATTACACAAGAGAAAAACAAAAACATGATCACAAGAAAGTAGAAAAGAAAATACAACAAAAAACGACAGAAAAAAAAAAACTGTCACTAAATCTTCAAAGGTCATCTTCATTCACGCAGATTTTTTTTTAATCATGTTTTTTTATATAGTATATATCTTCTTAGCATCAATAATTTCATCTTTAATAGTTAAACAATAAAAGATCCGGCAATGAGAAGGGAGGATGGTGCGTGTACCTACAACTTGACACACAAATGACCGCCTAAAGAGTTAATGGTGTTGAAACGACGAGAGGAAGGGAAGCAAAACATCTTCCAGGAAGAAGACGCCGGGGAGCTAGCTAATGGCAGAGTTAGAGTTAATGTTATTATTACTGTTGTAGAGCGTGAATAAATAAAACGACTGCCATAAGCGTAGGGAAAGCCCCCCCCCCCCGGCTCGGTCAGAGCCCCCCAAATATAAAGCAGATGTGTTGACTATTCTGTCCGTCCTTCCTTCTGTCCTCCTCATCCTCCTCCTCTCCCTCTATGAGTCTGTGCGATTCATGGAGTGTTTGTATTTCTTCAGTCCAACTCCAACACTTATTTAATACCTTAAAGAGAAAGAATGCAACAGCACGCAAGTTAGGATGACAGCTGCAATAAAGATAAATAAAGATAAATGGTGAGGCAGCAACAAGACACTTCATGACTTCATGGAATAACAATAAGAGTCTACAGCCATGCTAGCATCTCCGTGAGGCTGTGCTAAATACTAACTCAACATGCTCACATTGACAACGCCATCATACTGGTGTTCAGCACATACAATGTTCATCTTATCTAGCATCTTAACACGCTAAACTATCTCCTGGTTAAACTTTAATTTATGTCATAAAAATTATTTTAAGTAACCAACTTCATAGTTTTGACTCAGGAGTTTCAGAATTTTGGGCAAGTAGGAAACAGTGAGCAATAAGGTGCGTTCCATTTGTCATAGGAAGTCGGAATTCATAGTCAGAAATTGGGATTTCCGACTTGGCAAGTCGAGAAAACCGCACTATCAACAGTATCAACAGTTAGTTAAAGCTGTAGTTTATACTGTTTATTAGCCCTTCTGTGTACTTGTGTCGCATAGAAATTTTCATACACAAAGTGCTGTCCAGCTGCTTTCTGTGGACGTGTTGCTACAGCGTTTATTGTGAGTAAATACTGCACAATGCGTTTTCAGCCAGCGTAACAATGGCTTGTAAACAACGGCTGGCTGAGCAAGGTTTTCCGACTTGGAACGCTATCAACTTGGGTGTGACGTCATTCCCAGCTCCGAGGTAAATGGAACGCAGCATTAGCGTCTGTTTATTTAATGTGTCAGATTCATTCATTCTTATTTTTCAGGTTGTTTAAACAAGCAGGAGTGTTTCAGCCTTCTCAACCAACAAAGCCCTTTACAGATCTCAGTTGAATCTTTTAGTTCTTTACTTTACTTTGTATTAAAAACGGAACCTAAATGGTTCTGTTCAATTAAGGAGCAAGAATGCTTTCAAAAAGAGAGATGATCAATTAACAAAATGCAAAGTGAAAAATATAAAAAAATATGTAAAATATAAAATCATATCAATATAAAAACAGCATCAATTCTTCTAGATACACTTGCACATAGTTTTTGGGCTCGGCAGGAAGGTCGGCCCAAACATCACGGTTATTCTGTGGATTTAAGCAGCCTCAGTTGCTTCTCTCTCTTCATGTACTCCCAGACAGACTTGACGATGTTGAGATCAGGGCTCTATGGAGGCTGTACCATCACTATGTTGTCATGCTGCAGAATAAAATTGAGACGCCTCCTTGGTGGTATTGTATGATGAACATGTATATGCCTGTACATCTCAGCATTGAGGAGCTCATTTATTCTGATCAAATCCCCAACTCCGTTTGCATAAATGGAGCCACAAACTTGCAAGGACCCTCCACCATGCTTCACTGTTGCCTGCAGACGCCCAAAGTTTGACTCATCAGTCCAGAGCACCTCCTGACATTTTTCTGCACCCAGTTCCTGTGTTTTTGTGCATAGTTGAGTCGCTTGGCCTTGTTTCCATGTCAGTGGTATGGCTTTTTGGCCGCATGTTGCTAGACATCTTCAGATTGTGAAGGGAAGTAAACATGATGTGTCTTTCATCTGCGTCTACGGACCTCAACGTTGCCCGTTTCTTTGTGCTTCTTCAAAAAAGCTTGGACAGCACATCTGTGAACATCCATCTTGAAATGTCTGCCTGGGAGAGAGCTTGCTGATGCAGTATAACCAGCTTGTGTCTTGCCATGGTGTATGACTTTTGATAGCCAACTGTCTTCAGCAACCTCCCCTTGTTAGCCGAGTTTGGCTGATGCTCACCCAGTTGTATTCCTCCTACAGAGCTGTTTCAGTTTCAGTTAATGATTGTGTTTCAACCTACATATTGAATTCATGATCATTAGTACCTGTTTGGTATAACTGTTTAATCATCCCTGACTTTTTGCATGTGAACCTACAAGAATTGATGCCGTTTTGAAGGCAAAGGATGGTCACACCAAATATTTTTCTTCTGTTCACTCACTTTGCATTATGTTAACTGATAAATATAATCTATTGACAAGTCTATTCTTGAAAGCATCCTTACTTTACACTCTTTCATCCCTTGAACCACCTACATGCTAACCAAAGTACTGCGTGTTCAAGTCTTTTCATACCTATAGTAGTTTGGCTTGAAGGGCCCGTTCTTGTTCAAGCCAAGATACTTGGCCTGCTCATCGGTCAGCTCTGTAAGATGTGCGTCAAACGTTGGGAGATGTAGGCTCGCCACATACTCATCTGGAGGGCAAGGGAGAAGAAGAACATGTTAAAATTCACCAGGCGTCTGGTTGATTAATCATTCAAAAGAGAGAAGGAAGAGATATAGCAGAGAACCTCTAGGAATTAACGTCTCTCCATCTTTTACCCCCGCGCTGTATTCTCTTCCCCCCCATCTGTTTTCCTCTCCTCATCCTTCTTTGTGTCTCTACTTCCTTCTTTCCTCATCTCAGTTAATCCATTCATTCCTCTCCATCATCTTTCTGTCAGCGTGTGCTGTGGCAGCAGCGGCTGTCACCGACGGGGTGACCTACATTTGGCTCCCTGTTTTTCTTTACTACGTATGTGCTGTGGGCTGTATGCACGTACACATATGTGCACTGACACAGGACCCAATCTAGCGTGAATGATGTGTGTCTATAGGGAGATAACCCTGGGCTGAATAGATGAGGACAACTGTGTTATCTATGGAGATAAATGCAAAAATGCCTGCAGGCTCTCTGCTGGGGCAAAAACAAACTCTGTAAATTGCTGCCCATCTCTTTGCTTGGTGGCTACTTAAGTACCCAACAGGGTTATTTTCCCCTCCCTGGCTTGATGTCTTACTGTGTTTGTCCAATAGGCATTTATTCTTCTCTGTTTTGTATTCTTGCATTTTATTCCATGAACACATTCTGAACTAACAAAAACCTTACCCATCTTCTTGGGTAGCAGGTAAACATCCTGTTTGTAGCGTCCCTCTGGGGCATTGTACAGCTCTATCAGAGCCAGGGCCTGGGCAGAGAGACACACAGGTTACACACACACACGCTACAACTTTGTGTTTCGACATCTGTATTAGTGATAAACAGAAACACTGAGAGCAATGCACAAAAAAATACAAGACCAATCATGCGCAACAATGGAAATGACACAGAAACTGAGCCACCGTTGTACCTGGGTGGTGGCGGTGATGGAGAGCACGAAAGTGGGCACAGTGGAACAGCTTAGGTTCAACAGGCGACCCTGTAGAGGAAGAAAAAACAATTCAAGGTTAGACTACACGGGCAAAAGGTTTTTAACTTCACAGTTGAGAGAACAAAGGTGGTGGAGGTGCAGTCTGGGCAAGATGAGGTATGTGTTAGAAAAGAAGAATTCAATTATTTAAAACTCGCTTTTGCAACTGTTTGTTTTCTCTCACCTTCATTCTAACAGTAAACTGATGCTGCATTGCAGAGAGTGAAATTGTGACAGCCCAAGAAAATTGTGTAGTTAGTATGTAAAAGGGAAACACTTTGCGGCCAGGAGGAGGGGGAACAGAGAAAAGGTTGTGTTGTTGTTGCAAGAAAAACACAAACCTTTAATCAGTGGCATCGCTCCCATACTCTTAAGATGATGTGTGTTTTCAATTGTGGAAGAAGCTTTAGTTTGTGCTGCTTTGACCCCTTGGTACTGTACACAAAGAACCTCCACAGCTCAGATTGTCTTGTCTGCCAAAACCTGTCTTCGTGGACCATCCCCCTCTTGCTCGCTCTCTCTCCACTTTAGCGATGGAGCCAAGTACAGGTTGTGATTTTGTATTAATAAATAAATGCACAAAACAAAGTTATAAAACACGAAAGGAAAAAATGTCTCCTCCTGTTTTAAACTTTAAAAAGAATATCCTCTTTGTGAATTCTCTTCATTTCAGAGATACTGAAAGATGATGTTAAGATGATGCAGTCAGTCTTTAATAAATCCAATTTTGGGGACAACTATTTTGGATCAGAGCTGTTGGAGCAGAGAGTGGAGGCGGGAGAGGTGAGGGTTTTGACTGAAACCTGCTGAAGATCAAAGATCAAGATCAGTCTGGCCCTGTCACACTGCTCTCATTCTGTCACGGCAGACACACCCTCGCTCACTCACACACACACACACCCCTCGTCTTAACCTGCAATGTGCACTGGGTGTTTGCACATTGCAGGTTATGTTTGTGTGTCTGCACGGTCCCTCATAGATTTTCCACAACTACACTGTAGACTACGCTGTTGAACGCCGTTCAAATGGATGTTTATAAACAATGACTGGCCGTGACTCAGCTACGTCACTACGAGTAATGGCTGAAAAGTGTGCTTCACAAATACATCACTATAGTGACTGTGAATCTACAACAATAGCTTCATAACTAAATCATAGTCTCAATATCCAACTTGGAATCTAAAGATATGTTCTTTCAAAGTGCTCTGGGTAAGAGTGTGAACCAGTGTGTACCTCAGCCAGCAGCACTATCCTCTTGCCATCAGGCCAGATGACGTGGTCCACCTGAGAGCGCACTCTCTCCCAGGTCAGTTCAGGAGTCCGCAGGCTTGCCTACAGGATGAGCACAACGTCATCAACAATTGTTTGTTTCTGGTGGTATTTTTTCCACACTTCTATCTTCATCTATCATCATGGGCTGAAGTACTTTACAGGACGTAGTGACTCACTTCTTAGTGTCTGAACTACTTCCTTCTTCCACTCGTGCCATCTTTTTTTAATCCTTCCATTCCTCTCATATTTTTTTTTTATTCGTAGAACCTTTGTCTCAGTGTTCAGGAGGATACAATCAGTGCCCCATGAGCCTCATCTTTGGTTGCTATTAATTTCTGTGATTCAATTGTTTCTTAATGCTGCACTCGCTGTAAGACACTGCACTCGCACACAAGTTAATAGTCTAAAATATAATTATAATTCCACCCCTGTCTTTGTTATTTATTTGGTAATGTCTACTTATTTCTGTATCGCCAATTCTTGATCATACTTTGATCATCCACTGTATCTCTTGGTTTGTTCAGTCTTCATTAGGGCCCAAGCACGAAACGTACGAGGTCCCTAGTGAAACTGAAAGGATTTTTTTTATCTCTTTTTTCTGCAAAGTAACCTCAATTTTGGGGGCCTAAATATACTCGAAAACTCACCAAACTTATCACATAATTCTGTATTTTATGGGTTTCGCGCATGGGCGTGGCAAAATGGCTCGCTAGCGCCCCCTACAGAGCAGCTCCCAGACAAAGTTTCACCTACATGTATGAAATTTCTGTGGCACATGTATCATGTCCAGACGTACCAAAAAGCCTCTTGGAGCAATGCCCTAAGCCCAACAGGAAGTAGGTCATTTTGAATTTTATGGTTGGTTAGGTTTATGGTTATGAATTTTTGGATGATTTACACACTCCGTACTTTAAACGACCTCCTCCATGGGATTTAGTCCGACCGACTTCCGATTTGTGCTGTGAAGTCTAAACCCATTGCCTAAAAGTTGTAAAACGGTGATTTTTTGTGGAACAGCGTGCCCATGGCGTGGCATCCAAAATCAATGATTCGGCATGTAACAGGAAGTTGTTGTATAATAAGAGTCCCACCCTGAACACATCCACATGCCAATATTCACTCAAAGTCATAGCGCTACCTGCTGGCAACAGAAATGACATGTTTTAACGCATTGATGAAGCCATGTTGTAAAACTTGTGAGTTTGCAGTTAAAGTGTGACGGTGGAAAGGCGGCAAAGTTCCATGCTTCGCTGTGACTCAGGAAGTTGTTGTAACTTGACTGTACAAGCTCAGATCTGTACCAAATTTTACAGATTTGATAAGAGTCCTGACCTGAACACATATACATGCACAACATTCACCTATAGTCACAGCGCCACCTGCTGGCAACAGGAAGTGATTTTTAACGAAGCAGCCCCAGCCGCTCGTTTGACCTACATGTACGAAATTTCTGTAGCACATGTAACATGTACAAAAAAGCCTCTTGGAGCGATGTCCTAAATCCAAGAGGAAGTCAGCCATTTTGGATTTAATGGTCATTTTTGGATGATTTATACACTCCATACTTTAACAAACTCCTCCTAGAGAATTAGTCCGGCCGACTTATTTAGTCTAATCCCAATGACGATTATAAGTTGTTCTAATGGTGAGTTTTCACGGAATGGCGTGCCCGTGGCGTGATATCCAAAATTGATGATTTGCCATGAAACAGGAAGTTGATGTGTACATGCTCACATCTGCACTAAACTTTACATGCTTGATAATGGTACCACCCCGAACATATCTACATGCTAATATTCAGTTATACTGGTAGCGCCACGTACTGGCAACAGGGCGTAAGCTCTGTCTGACTTTCATTGTGCGACTGAAATTAATTTTTGCAATGTGTTTCACACGTGGTGAGACCTAACCTATAGATACCGGGTGCTCTGAACCCGAACATAAGTGACACAGGAAGTGACGTTAAAGTCCTCCGTGTTCGAAGCCTGTGACAATTCAGAGCCGCATCGGCAGAGCTGCGGAATATACGGCGCAACCGTACCACACCCCAATGCGCTACATGTGCGAGGGCCTGCCCAATGCTGCTTGCAGCTTTAACTATTTCTGTCACTTTACAAGATTGTGCAAAGCTGGTAACTGACCACATCGATCTCAGTGTTGGAGTGTCCCATGTTGCAGACAATGCAGCCATTCTTCATGCGGTCAAGGTACTCTCTCACCACCACGTTCTTATTGCCTGTTGGAAATGAGAGAGAGAAATTAGATCGATAAGGGCAAATGCAAGAGGTTTAAAAAGCGAGTGAGCAAAAATGTGAAATAGACAAAAAGAAAGACTAGAGTGTACTTGAGGTTTTATCAAATGACATGTTGAAAAGAGACCCAATATAGGATTTCTGCAGACTGTATCCATTTCTGTGAAACTATGTTTTTACTGTACTCCATTTAATTACTTCTTATCTCACCATTTAGCATAGTTCATTAAGGTTGAAACTGGGATGTAGTCTGAGTGTTCCACCTGTCTGCATAGTGCATGTTTAACGATCTGCACGTCTCTAATAGGACTTGCAGCAAGGTTACTAGTTCTTACTAACAGCATCTGTTTATGTATAGGTAAAGTCGTATTTTTGCAAACTGGGAGCATGCTGATAGATGACTTGAATTTAGCTTCAAAGGGCACAAATAATGTCCTGCACAATTTCTCTGTAGGGAAGTTTTTTGTGTTTTATAAATAAACTTATTTGCCCACAAGACAAACTTTCTGAATGTTGCTGCAAGGCTTCTAATTTATTGACCTTAATGGAGCTACCAGCGCATGACCTTATTAGAGCTCCTGCTTGTCCTGTTTTATTTATTTTACAGCACTTTGTAACTTCATTAGGAAAGTCTTGCACAAATGGCAGGTGTCTTCTTCTACCTTATTATCTTCTTTATTATTTTTTCTGTTCAACTGCAGTCACCATTAGAAGAGATCCTCTGCTTTTGGCCTGCTGGCCACATCAGGTAATGAAGCAGAGAGACAAGTAATTCTCTGCTCCAATTAAGTGTTCAGGACAACTCCCTGGCTGCTGAGCTGAGAACTTGATTAGTAACTGTCACACTCTGCTGCTGATGATGACCACTGAATATCTGTCCAGTCATCCTGAACGAACAGTGACAGACTAGTGTTACTGACTGTTTTGTGTCTTACGCATTAGTTGTGGACAATGCCTCAGCACAAATCTCTGTGAAGTGATAAGTCAGGAATCCAATGATTATGATGCAAAACTTCATTTAAACTTCACCAGCCTAAAGTGAGCGAGAGCTCCTTCTCAGTGGAGAGAGAAAAATGCAGACAGACGCTGGCTGAACCGACCTGTGCAGGTAATGACGATGTCCACTTGTCTGATGACTTCGTTCAGTTTCACCAGCCTGAAGCCGTCCATGCTATGATTGGGGAGAAAGACAATAAAAGAGCATGATGAGACAGACGCATCAGCGACTGAAGCTGCGAGCCATGAGAACCTCAACACGCCGAGTCTTACCACGCCTGCAAGGCACAGATTGGGTCAATCTCTGTGACGTAGACGATGGAGCCCATTGCTTTGAGGGCAGCACAGCAGCCTTTTCCCACCTGAGAATAGACAGACAGGAGACATTATCCCACAGTACAGACAAACCTTATACTGTTGTCAGGGTTCCCACTCTTTTCCAGAGATCATTTTCCAGGACATTCCTCTCTGCAGAAGTCTTTGGCTATAACATATATTACATGCATAGTAATTATGACAAACTGATTGCCTTGTTTTAATGCTATGTTTTAATATTGTTAAATTTTTTAGTCCTGCTGCTGTATTTATTTAAATTACGTTTGGAAAGCCCTTTGCTTTCTATGCTTGGCATGTTCTTTTCCAAAGAATTATATTTTTACCACTGCTGCCTGAACACCAATAACTGAATAGCCTCAACACAAATAATAGCCTATAATTTTGCTTACTAACAAATCCTAGCATTCTGTTGAACCTTAGCTTTCTAAAATCCCTGTGGTCCGTAGCCCAAATGCACATCTGTTGGACCACTGTCATGATGCCACACTTTATGTTAAACTTCACAACAAACTTTGTGTATTGATGTGTAAGTGTATTACGGTAAAAAAAAGCTTGGACTTCTTCATCAGTGTGCAAATATCAAAAGGTAATTGATGTTGAAAAGAGTGCGTCTGGAAATAGGAAATTAAACCGAGCCGTGGTATAGATCAGTTTATCACCTTTACTAATGAAGCCAATCACAACCCACTGTGAGCTACAGCTAAAATGTCACGTTATGTTACAGTCCATTTTAGCGGAATGTAGCATTGCCTTTTAAGAGACAATGCTAGCAGAGTTTGGAGGAGAATGCAACAGAGTTTCGGATACTTAAATTAATGTCATCCAACCTGTGCTACCATGTGACATAACTCGGGGGTATGTTCACAGCGCTGCCGCAACAGAACTGAGCAATCGCAACATAATGTTAAAAAAATATTCCAGGATAACGCAAGATTTTCCTGGATATGTTACTTTTTCCTCTCATTTTACCAGGTGTTTTCCATGACAGGAAAATTGGTCAACTGTTTTCCAGGATGCGTGTGGGTTGTTTGTTTTGGTTTGACTTAAACTACAAGTCCCAAACCTAATGAAGTACAATATATATTTATAATACTGTGAGGTGCTTCACCGCAGTATCTATTGTGATGAATGAAACTTCATCAACACCCATCATGTTCCAAATGTGTTGATCTGAACCAATTTTAAAAACGGATGTTATTTCAATCTATTAATTCTATAAAAAGGGGATGTTAGGATTTTTTCTAAGTGTTGTCAAGTTTGTATTCATGCTGGTACTCTTTAATATGAACATCTGATCAATATATAGCAAACAAATCATGTCTAAACAGAAGCAGTCAACAGCAACCAGTAATCAAAATCAAAATCTTTTCATTTTCACAATTTTATTATAGTTTTAATGTAATTCCACCTGACCGAACATTTACTGTGCAAGAGCCTGTATGAAAATGAAAACAAATGTCAACCTTACCTCTCCGTATCCACACACCACCACCTGTTTGCCTCCAAACATGACATCAGTGGTCCTCTTCAGGCTGTGGACAGGAACACAATTATTTCACCAGAACCCTGATATTTATTCAGACTGTTCGGAGCGGTGAGGAGGTGGGTGTAATTGGCCTTCAACACTGAACACTCAAACAACAAACAGGTTCTGTTTTATAATAATGCCTAATAAGGTTAAACAGACATTTCATACCCATCTAAAATGGACTCCCTGCAGCAGTAGAGGTTGTCAAACTTCTGCTTGGTCACAGAGTCGTTGACGTTCATGGCTGGAACACACAGCTTTCCTGCCTTGGACAGCTGGTACAACCTACACACACAAATACACCCGCACACATTAAAAACAGATGTAAAATGTAAGCTATGCTTAGTGACAGAATAAAATACAACAAGTTAAACAACAAGATAAATTATTTTATGCTCAGTGTTTAAGACAGACCTGGTCTTTCTGCTTTACAATCTACCCTTACACACTTACATACACAGCAGTTCTGCAATGGTGTAATCACAGTAAACTGTTAATGGTGGTGACATTTTCACCACTAGATGGCGATATTACCACACCAGAAACAGTGTGAGAGTCTGCAATTAGTCTGTGTGTTATTGTGTGATTTTGTGCAGAGAACCAGTGTCATATTTTCAACCGTCACCAAAAACACTGCTTAAAGCCAGCGTCAAAAGGAAAGGATGTGAGCATGCTGCGACTCCCACCTGTGAACCCCGGTGACACTCTCCTCCACAATGCCCTTGATCTTCTTGAACATGTTGGGGTACTTTTTGTAGATCCAGTGAGTCAGGTCTCCACCGTCATCCAAGATCTGACGGACGATGAGAGACAATGACGAGCATAGTGGAAGAGAGAGACAAGGGAGGGGATTGAGAGAGTATTGGGGATAAAAAAATAAAAAAAGTAAGGGTGAAAATAGCAGATGTACTATATGTACCACCAACAGGGACCGTGGGATGGAAAAATAAAGAACATATATTTTCCCAGTGCTTTAATAAGCTTTATTTAAAATGTAGGTGTGCTACCATGTTGGGTTGCCAGCCCTCCACGTTGACACAGCGATCGATGCACCACCAGAAGTCGTCCTCTGACTCACCCTTCCATGCAAATACACTGAAACCTAGAGAAAGAGACAGCAACCATTTTATGCTTAGCAGACAGAAGGAGAAAAATCACGTCACACACGGGAAACTCCCAGGACACACAGAGTCTCACCTCCCTCTGCAAGGGCAGCTGCCACTTCATTCTGGGTGGAGTAGATGTTGCAGGCTGCCCATCTGCACTGAGCCCCCAAAGCTGACAGAGTCTCCATCAGCACCTGCGGCGGGAACAGAGGTTCATGTTTGACTTTATGTTGTAGCTGCTGGAGTCAAACTGTGTTTATGTTTAAGGCTGCAAGTGTGCGGCTCTGTTTGGTAATTCCTACTCACAGCAGTCTGGGCAGTGATGTGGGTGCAGCCCACCACTTTGGCACCTGCAAGGGGTTTCTCCCCTTGGGCTCGCTTCCTCAGAGCCATCAGGGCCGGCATCTCTGAAAGAGGACACATGAGTGGATAAAGGAATCAGCTGGATGGGTAAGGAATTCCCATCATTTAATCCTCCTAATGCTTCATCACTAAGACATCGCCTCATTCAGCTGAAGCAGTTACATATGTGAAGTGGTGTGTGTGTGTGTGTGTGTGTGTTTCATGGTTTTATGTCCCAGTGGGGACTTTAATCTAAATGCACACAAACCAGTGGGGACTCCTGTGACCGTGGGGACCTAAATTTTTGTCTCCACAGGCAGAGACTTCTTTTTGAGGGTTAAGACTTGGTTCTAGGGTTCAGGTTACAATTGGATTAAGGTTAGGGTTAGGCATGTAGTTGTAATGGTCAAGGTTAGGGAAACTGGCTAGGGAATGCATTATGTCAATGAGATGTCCCCACAGGGATCGAGGAACAAACATGTGAGGCTCTCTGTATATTCTGTGAAACAATTAGGGAATGATATGAGTAATGTTTGTGATGGTGGTTTTAAATGGTGTTCTCATTTGCAGTGCAGGGTACAATATGGCCATCCAGCACCACCTTTGAATGTAGTATGCCCTCATGTTTGTATAACTGCGCTTGTGATGCCACGTTACACCAAGTGTGTTTTCATCCACCTGCTTTTGTGAAGACTCAATTTATGCATAAAAAGAACCTGAGAGGAAAATACTGGAAATTGGGGGGAGTAGAAAGATCACAGAAAAGTTTTTATGCTTTGCTGAGGCGGAAAAGTTGTTTGTTTCATATAAGTAGTTCGAGGAACATCACAAATGTCATATTTCCATCATGTTTTCTTCATTTTTTTCCAGTGTGTGAGGTTTGACTGGCACTCTTCTAATTACATCATCTTGTTGTGTCCTTTTCTTCTGCAATTGCACCTGATTGGAGAATCAGTACACCATTTCCAATATTTACAGTAGTGGATGGAAACATGCGTGTCATTGTCTTTTGACGACTTGCTGAAAATTCAGTAAAATTTGCACCACATTTGGTTGGAAACTTGCCAACTTAAGATTTGCATCCACCCGCTAAACCACTAACCCTTAAGGGCCCCCTTTTTTCAAGTGAGCAGTTACAGCCCTTTAGTTTACCTTGCTCGGCAATCTCGATCTCTCTGCGTCCAAAGTCGGCCTGTTTGATGTTTTTGATGCAGAAGTCTCCATTGCCCTTGGAGTTCTTCTGCTGTTTGTCCCGAGGAGATGTCTCATCGTCAGAGCTGTCCGTGTATGACGCCGCTAAAAAACGATACCACAGTATTGTCAGTATGTCATGGGAAACCTGGACTAAACTATGCCTCATCAGAATTGGTGAAGTTCACAGATTGTTATAAATGATTAAGAAGATTATATTTGTGCTGGAGAAGTCTTCTGACCTCACCCCCTGGTCACTACCACAGCGTCTGGACACAGATTCACATCCTTAGCTGAGACTTGCTTAGACGAAGATAATAGTTTGTCAGTTCTTATTGAGTCAACTCCTCCCAATTTTAGCTTCATGAGTGAAGCTAGAGTGCATAAAAAAGGAATGTGGCAACGTTATTTTGCTTAATAATGTCAAGATAAGATAACAATGCCTAAATACTAAACTGCTGTCTGTCGTCTGCATTGACTTTGACTGTGTTGTTATTGTTGGTGATTTTAATGTTCATAGTGACAATCTCCATGACAGCAGCACAAAGGTTGCACTGCACTGTAGCTGCACTATAATATTGATCCTACCGTTTCATCTTTCTTGCCAAAATTTAACCTTCTATTTTACTTGATTTTAATAATTTAAATCGTATTCATGCGTGTCTTTTTATAACACCTTGTCTTTATTTCTAACTTTGTCTCAATGCCTTTTAGGTCTTATGTCAAGCACTTTGAATTGTCTTTTTGTTGCAAGGTGCTATACAAATACATTTGATCTGGCCTTGCCTTAGCTTTAAGGTTTCAAAGTGCAGAACAAATATGTTGTGCCTTTGGTTTTTTTCACTGTGAATAAGCCTGTACTTTTCCCAACCCTGCAATTTGACTTTGGTTGGCTACGGATCCTGCACAGCACCGAGTTCAATTGATTATAAAGCTGTTGGAAAAACCCTTTCCACCAACAGAGCTACTGAAGCCTCTTTCCAAGACTGCAGTAGAACGTAAACATAGAATAAATGTGTTTTAACACTTGGTATCAGTGCACCTCTGAGATATAAACAGTAGCACCCACAGCAGCATACTCAGTAAGGAGTTGCCTCTATTTTCTTGCACCAGCTCTGTGTGGTCCCGCTGCTTCAGGATGACTCACTACACAGGTGCGGCCCTTCTTGTGTAGAGCAGGTACACGATGCCAATATCACTCCTACCACCCTTTTAAAATGACCACGGACGAGTACCAGATAAGACCGGGTACCCTGCCAGCACTGTAACTATACTGCTGTTAAAGAACATACTGTACTGTGCCAGGAGGGGAAAGGCTTAGAAAAGGAAAAAAAATGAGGTGATAATCCATGAGTGTACCATTTTCTTTTGAAATCTCCCATCCGTAATGACAGGAGGAAAGGGTGGTAGAGAGCGTTAGCTAAGGAGATCTCAGGGGTCATGAGGGTGGATGTGCTGACACTTGCAAAGGATACTGGGACAAAGCCAAAGGCAGGGTAAAGGAAAAGTCTACAGTCCTCTTGGGAATCATCCAAAAATGAAAGCTAAGAGGCTTCAGTATCTGTCCTTTTTCTTTTCTTTTCTTTTTTTTTTTTTACACACAGAAGAATTTTAGCTCACTAAAAAGGAGAGTAAGCTTAACCTATCACACAACCCAAACCTCACACTTGGTCTCAGTCTTAGTACTGGGTGAAACTTTTAAAATCGTTGCAGCAGAACCAGAGATAGTATCCTTTTTTTATTTAATTCATTCTTCTGCCTTCAACTCATGCCTACATAACCCACAATGTCCTTCAATCCACTGATTAATTAGAGATTCAGTCGTGTTATGCTAGTGTGGCCTCAAGCAGAGAAAAAACCTTTATCACATATGCAGTAGTACTCCCCTGACACCTGCAAGAGCTCCTCTTTAAGTGTGATGAGATGACTTGACAAAGACTTAGGTCTTTTCAACAGGTATTCCTTAGATTAAGAAAGTTTCATGCTAAGCTGTTACAGACTTGGACCACAACTAAAGGAGGAACTCTTATTAAACCAAATCTATACCAAAAGTGGTCTTGGGAAAAGTACTACTGGCGTGTTCAGTGTGTCTTCTGCACTGTGGGAACCATCAGAGAAATAAGAAGCACTCTGGTTACCGAGGGGGGAGGGGGGGGGGGGGGGGACTTTTCACTCATTGCTGCTGGTAAAAGTTCAGAATTTGACAAGCTCGATTTTGTCTGTCCTGTTAACATTTTAAGTGAAATAAAAGCACAGCATCACTATCTCAATAACAGATCATCATTATTTTATCATCTGACAGCCTCAGGCTGGAGGGGAAGGTTCTTGGGAGGTAGATTGATTTAATGAGCCCTAGTCTGGGTGCAGGAGAGAGGTGAATGAGGGCTGATGTGAGAGGAGAGAAGAAAAGAAAAGTGAAGGGAAGGAAGGAAGGAAGAAAAGAAGGACGTGTTATAGGGGAACTACAACAAATCCACCTTGCACCTTAGAAAGGGACATCGAGTGTGCCCATTTTGATCTGAGAGTTGCACACTGAATACAGAGCTGAATTTAAGAATCAAAATATTAAATATAAAAGACTCAAGAAGGTAAGCCTTTTGCCTGTTGGGTAAGTCTGGTAAGAATATTATTCCAAACCTGGGTGGCCACATATAACAGAGAACCCTAACAAATACCGTGCTCTGTAATTTAGGATTTTCCATGCACTGTGGTTCATCTGCTTTAGAATTTAATTTGACTGTTCACGGAACAGCCCTGTTGAAGCTGCGTTTAGTTACTAATGCTTCACATTAAAAAGCCATCTACTGGCAGACTAGCGAGATGCTTTTATTGTGAAGATGTTATGGGAAATGCACCGTGTTTTGTCTCCAAGTAAGCGAGCTTAATGAGCGGCGCCATTCTTCAGAATTGCACAAAAAGTTAACAGCCACAATGAGCTGGAAAGGATGTGGGGTGTAGCTGTGGTCTGTGACTAGCACACATCCAGCAGGTCCAACTTTTGCTTGCTGTGCAGTGGAAAAATACTCGGCTGCTTGTGGCCGTGGCATGGCATGACTCGTTGCGACTACCTTCCCTGCTACATAAAAACCCTACATGAGACATGTTTTGATTTAAAAACAAAAAATAACTGGGAGAAAGAAACACAAGGTCCTTTTCTCAGCTCACCCTGAGTGGCTGACGTTTGCGGACAAAAACATGCAGGAAGTCACAGGTACAAAAATGTTTCATGCACTGAATACTCACTAGACTTTTTTTTTTTTAAAGCACCCCTGACCTACGGGACCCATTATGGTCATCCACTAAAACTGACTGAAAGTCCATTTGTCCATCTGTCATCCATCTGTTTGTCCATCATATTCTGTCACTAGAAGTGACTCTGAGCAGCATCACACACAGATTAATTCATCAGGGTAATGGTCACTGGAAGATATGTGCCCTGTGAATGACCCTGACTCACAGCAGGAACAAAGAGCCTTCATGGTAGAAGCAGCTTAAAACAGTATATAAACATTTCCAAAACCTCTGCTATCAGAGTGTTGATGACAAGCGGACAAGGGAAAGGCAGAAAAGGAGAACAGGATTATTCATGATCAGACTGGGCTCTCATCTCAATGCTACAGCCAGAACTTCTCTCTGGTCTTTGCCTTATGTTAACGAAACAGACATGTTGGGATATACAGTGCGCTTATTCACTGTCCTGTCCTTGCCTGGCAACCTCACTGTGACGACAAGACTCCGGGAAGGCACCGCTACCGGCCATTTAAGCAGGTTCTCTCTCTCCATCTGTCTCTCTCTCTCTCAAAAAAAAAAGAAATGTCTGTGAAAATGTCTGACTAGTTTTGCTGCCTTGTGAATTATTAAATCAGCAACTATTCTGATAATTGATTAACCCTTTCACTTTTGAAGCCAAAATGCCAAACATCTGATGGTTCAGCTTCTCACATTTGAGAATTTGATGTTTTCTTTGCCATATATGAAGGTAAACTAAATTTGTGTTTGGGTTTTGAACTGATGGACAAACGAAACAATTCATTTGAATAATCACCTTGGTCTAGAGGAAATGCTAAGATGGAAAGTTGGGACTCTCAGAATACTTGCCAGCTCTCTCCCTTCTTTTCTCCCCCTCTCCACTAGACCACCAGCAGCTAATCCTCGAACACAGAGCACACAGTTTCACATGAACCACAGTGTTAAGAGTGTGAGAATGAGAGCCAGTGAGATGAGGACAGAGGTGAAGCTAGGGAGAAAGTACAATCAAGCAAAGTCTGCCGACTGTTCTTCCAGGTGAAATATTTTCTGTATCTTTCCTGTTGTAAAAAATGTAACCGAAACATGTCACATCCACCTGTCTGATAAGTAGTGGGCTATTGTTACATCAGAAGAAGAGTGTGTTTATTTGCGTTAACCTGAGCTGTAGCTGTCTGTGGAGGACTGGGAGATGGAGCGGGACAAAGAGCGCCGGCCGATCTTGGAGGGACGCTTGTTGAACTCCTGTTTCTGGTCTGCAAACTGGATCTGCAGGTGGAGAGGGAGCAGGAGTGGACAGAGAGCAGAACGCGAGTCAGATTTTACAACTGCATTGATGTAGGTCGCGTGAACATTTTTAACAACTTATATTCAAGTGGGCACATATGAAGGCATCTCTTGATCACCAGGCTTCACACACATACAGTTCCTCTAGAACGCACACACATTGACAATTTTAGATTGAGTTTGTGTTAAATGTCCTGTTACTTCTGTTTCCAACCTTCACATGACCTCATTGGCTAGCACATCCACGCTACGTGAACAAACCAATAAAGTGACGTAGCAAACTACATGGCTATGCTGACTGGACCAATTACTTAATGTGGTTTTTCCTTGGGTGACGTATTGTACACAACGCAATTGAGCTGTGATGTCTATGAAGGTTCTCAGTCACCCAGGTCATAGTTATTGAAGGAAGGTTAAAATCAAGGGCAACTGGATTTGGTCAAAGATACTAGAAGAAGTCTCATCTGAAAGACTCGAGTACCTGAAAAGTTTTATTTTATGGTTCTGTTGTCTTTTGGCTTCAAATTAAACACAATTTTCAACCTGTATAGTATGCAATAGTTTGTTTTAATGGTGCAAATTAAAAAATTCATAGTCAATTTCAAGTCTGGTTAGTCTACAGGGTATCTCAAAATTGAGAAAAAAAGATTGCATTTTAGACCTCGGATCGTGATTGCGATTAAATAGATTGGGATATTTTTTTGGCCAGATGGCACACCCCTAGCACACACACTGTCGTAATACATTAACTAGGGTTATGATGGCTCTTAAAAGTCAACAGCCAGCCATTAAAGAGGAAACTTGGACTGCATTGTTATTGACCCCCCCCCCCTATCCAAGTATGGCCATGTCGGGTTTATGTTTAAGACAGCTTTTTTTTAAATTACAAAATGTTTTCAGAGATAAGAAAGAACATGAAATACATATAAAGGCTGATAATAAACAAGAAGGACCAGCTTTGAGTTCATTCTGACTTTAAGAGATAATAGAGACAATGGAGCGATTGTCAGCCGGTAAACAAGGCCACACAGATGACACAAGGTGCAACAGTTCATCCTGCTTCTGTGAAATGTGTGGGAGGTGTTTGGCTATTCACTGCAGTCAGGCCACAGATTGACCATGATTCAATCGCTTTGTTAATCTTTCCACTATTACATCCAATGCTTGCTAAATCATAATTCATGTAATATGACAGGGTATGAATAGCTGACTTATTCCTACCATAAAACCACTTGAGAAGAACAAAACACGGGTGGGTGGGGGGTGCTGTAACTGAGACGTTATTAAATAAACACCCACAGATCTGAGCGAATCTTTTTGTCCCGACATGCATTGTGGGAGTGAGATTTTGCCAATGCCACAGTCCTCTGACGGAGGCAGGGAGAAGCTTTGAAAAGGTTATAAAAATTCCTCATTGATTTCCATTCCTTATCACCAGCCTTGTTGAAAAAATAAAAGGAGTCCTTGAGCACAACACAAGCAAATATTTTCATGTTTTCTTCTTTTTCCATCAGAGAAAAATGACAAAACAAATATTCTGACATTCAGACACATCCTGTGTGTGTGTCTCTTCATTCACTCACTCATTCATTCATTCATTCATTCATTCATTCATTCTCACAATATGGCAGGCGTTCAGTGAATGACACAGGGCAGAGCTGCTGTCCAATCACAGAACATTTCAGTCAGCATTACACTGACACGAGGAATCATCGACGGCATAAACCTTTTTTCTCATTTCTGTATCTTGTCTTTTCTCCGGGTTCAGCAACTTCCTGGTCGTTTCTTAGGTAGTGCCACGTGGCTATAATCATCAGCACCTTTCCAAACAGGCATGGACAACACTACAGCTCTCAGAGAACAAGACAATCAGCCATATCATATAGAGACAGGCGAGGGTTTGCAAATCCAATGCAAACCAATGTACTATTTGCTGACTTTCACCTCCAACATCAGCCAACTGTTGGAGGTTGGTTGGAGTTTTTCAGCTTCATTCTCAACCTCCAGAAATTAATATCTGAGGGCATCACCTTCCCAAAACCCACTGTAAAGCCAGATTAATCCATCCCCTCCTTACGTTCTGTCCTCTTTGCTAACCTTTCTCACACAGGGCTCACTGCTGGCCCTCATTCTTCAGCATTGCCCCGTGCATGGTGTTGTGTGATGAAGTTGCGAGTATGGCGAGTGTCTGATACAAGGCCTTGTGCATTGGACATCATTTCATTCTACCTCCTCTGCCTCTGTCTCCTTTTAGCCTCTGCTTCCCTGTAATCCAGGCCAAACTGGCCCAACCGAGTGCCAGCAAACACAATGCGATCAATTGTTTTCCCTTCCTTACGCTTCCTCCAGCCCTCTCTGCCTCTCTCCTACCTCTGTATTCTTGTTTAATTGTTGATTGTTCAAGAGATCGGGGTCCATGAATTGCTGGTATCAAAACCGAAGTGGAGCTTTACCCCTGCTGACCCAGGACGGTTAGGATGTGTAGTATATGAACTAGGTATTGAAAGAGTGATGGAAAACTACTGAATACTCAATGAATGTACTGCTCATATCTGAAATTGTTAAAAGTTTTATTCAAAAGCTTCAAAAACCAACCCGCACAAAAACACAAATTAATCAAGCCAAAATTTACAAAAAGGGAACAGAAAACGACAACTCAACAAGACTAAGAGCCTGTAGTAAATCTAAAATGGCAGCATCATATCACTACACAGATTTTACAACATACAAGTTAGAAGATTATGAAGAATAAATTAATGCTGATTAGATTCCCCACTACTGCGAGACAAAACTACTGCTGTACATAATTCAGGAAGGCTGATGGCGCTAGGCTAAATAAAAAAAAAATTAAAAACTAAATCTTCTTCTAATAACCCTGAACCCTATAAACAGGCCAAATTAGGGCTATTGGTCTCTTCAGGTTTTTTGGATGGAGTTTAGATGAGGAGCTTTAGGAGCTCAGAGTTGCAGTGAAGGATTGAGGGTCATTTTGGGAGCTCAGGAGGCGGGGATACAGGGGCTTATGACATGTTTTTGGGACAAGATTACCACAGGTTTTGCTCAGGGTTTTAGAACAGGGGGTTCTGCCAGAGAAAATGACACAGATGTTTGTTTATTGCGGCGCAAAGAGAGAGCAAGTGAGCCAAGGACAGAAAGGTAACCCATTCGGTCCTGATCACTTTGGCTATATATACACTCGCGATAATAGGATTTTATACAATAGCTGCTCTTTAGCAAGGAAAACCAGTATCTCCACAATTATTTTTATTATTACATATTATAGCATATACAGATATACAGATCAGGAGGTGCAGATTTTAACCATCTTTTCACTTATAACAGGCCATATAATCTTGACTTTGTCAGTGTTTTTGGGAGCCAAAAAAAACCTTAATAAATCTCAGTTTTAACTTGCTGCAATGAGACTTCACAATTTATTTCAAGGCAGCAAATGAGCTGATGCTCTTATCCACAGCCGCTTACAATAACCCACCAGCCAAATGCTGGTCAGCTGTTCCTACAGCTTACTGCCCTGCACTGAGTCTTCCTTTTATGAATGAAGTGTGTGGCATTATGAGCAATCACATGCTGGTATGATAACAAAACAGTAATTATCAGACCATGCATTAATCAAATCTTGATGACCTGAGCTAACATGACTTTACAGTAGCCCGACATGACAGAGCCTCACGGAGAGAATTATTATTATGGCTTATGTAAGGAAGGCACTGAGGACAATTAATGGGGAGGCAGCAACACTCTGCTCCTGTACTAGTACATTAGAAGAGGTCTGCATGACTCAGCAGCACGTAAACACCAGCTGCTATTTTGGAAAAATCATTTGTTGGAGTTCATTCAATCTGTCTAAAATTTAGAGAGCAGCTGGGGGCAGAAATGTCATTCAGTCAACCAAAAACCTCCTAATGTTTACAGCTGTAAAACTAGACCTTTTCTTTCTCTGCCAGTCTCTTTCCTATATCTGTCTCTCCCTTTTCAATTCTGCTCCATTTACGATCTTCCACCTTCCCTCGGCCCCTCTAACCTTACGCTGCACTCTTTTACAATATGGATGGTGACTGATCGGGAGGCTAATTACATGTGAATTATGAATGTTAACTCAATATGGGGACACATGGGAGCTCACCAAGACTGCCACCTTGTGTGTGTGTGTGTGTGTGTGTGTGTGTGTTCGTTCCACAATTAAATTTGGAGTGTGAGGAAGAGATAGAGTTGCTAAAACTTGGGTTTCTGCTGGTAACAAACAAAGTAGTAGTAGCTGCCAGGATCCACTTGCCACATTGCAGAGGGAATGTGGAATACTGGGAGAGAAACCCCACTGAGGTGGACTGTGTTGTTTAACAAGGAACATTTAAACAGCATGTTCACGCTTGTTTTTGATGCTAGTAGTCCCATACACATGCATGTGCACAACGCCCATGATGGCTCCCAGTGTTGCTAAGCAAACAGCTTACAAAAACCTGTTTCAAGCATGGTGAACTTTTGCGACACACTAGCAAGTGCTAAAATCAAAAATAAGAAAGTTCTGGATTTCCTTTTACTTTGTTGTCAGTAAAAATAAAACACAAATGCAAAGACTTCGCTCGCCAGTCTGAGTAGGACGCCTCAAACAAGTTTCTATTGGGTTAAAAAAACAAAAAAAACCCAAACAAACAGATTCCTCCAGGAAAAACTGTCCACATGTTAAACAGCTGGTCAGTGAAGGAACTAAAGTGGCTTAATTCATTAAAAACATTGCTTATGTGCTTTCTGGCAGAGAGTTAGATGGGGAGTTGCATAACAAGACTGATATCACTCTCATATCAGGTTGTTCAAAATTCAATTCAATCAATGTGCTCAGTCATTTCAAAAGGACAATAATGCTACCAAGCTAGAGACAGCAGATAAAAATGACTTAGTATGTTGGGGTAGAGATGGAGGCCTAGGCTTAGCCCTAATAACTTGCATTATTTTAACTGCATATC